TCGTATGAGCGATTGCCTCGACATTATTGAGAACGTATGGCTGAAAGATAAACCGTTCTTGACGGGAGACACGATTAGTGTGGCTGATATATTCTGCGCTTGCGAATTGGAAGAACCGCGTAAGCTACCACGAATCTTTCGATTTCATTACATACATACACTGCGTTTACGCGATTTAAGTAATAAGGAATTCTTTTCTTGTCAAGGAATGGCCGGTTACGATCCGAAAAAGGGGAGACCACGAATGACTGCCTGGATAGAAAGAGTTGCCGCGGAAACGAGCCCTCACTATCAAGACGCTCATAAGTTCGTAAACAAAATAGTTGAAGAACCACAAAGCTTTAAATTAATTTAAACATTAATTACAGACAAATACGTACTACTCTCGCTCTTTACATCCAAATATATATCATATATGTGCAATCAATTCTATAGATGATATCTTAATTTAAACTGGTTTTTATTTTGATACTTTTAATATAGTATTTCTTGAATAAATTAATGTTTCACATTTATATGTAACATATACATATATATTATACTTATTATGGGAAAATAATTTTTAGGTCGTTTTAATTTGTTTATTTTTCCATCCATTATTTATCATTTATCCATTATAATTAAACTGCGATGCTGCAATTGCTATAGTGATCGCGATTAACTATAATAATAGATTTCTCCAGGCTATTATACCAAGAATATAACATAAACTGCAGTTCACTGATTGCGATACATAGAATAAGTGACGAAATAAAAATGTTTTTGTGTTAGGTAAGTATTTATTTAATAAAATTTATTTAAAAAGTGTGAGTATCGAAATCAATATGCTGAGTACAAGTATGTGTGAGATGAAGTGTGTATGAAAAGAATTTACAAATGAAGGTAAAATAAAATCTTGAATGTTTGTCGTCGGTCAAGAAGAGGCACTTGGTAGACTTGAATTGCTTATATCGCGTGGCCCGGTGTCTCCACCTATCCGTTGTTGCTCCACCTCACGTTCATAACTTCTTGCATTGCCATGAACTTTGGAGTTGGGTGTGTGTGTTTGTGTAAACATATGTATACACATATGTGACGGAATTTATATTTTGACAAACGTCTCGAAGGACCAGCGCGATAGCCGTGCGTCAGTAGCAATTCAGTAGCATCAAGTCGCCTTTCCATATCGATTGCATAAGTGATCAAAGTGATCGTGAAGTATCATCGATCCCCCCTCGAGCGCGAAAGTCAACACATTTGAGAGAATGGATCGTTCTGCCGCATCATTCCCGGTCTGAACGCCGAGCAAGTGATATTTCTCCTACGCGAATTGAAACGGCAAGTGAAACAGATGTACGGCAATTAGTCGCGAACGGTATCGAATTAGGAGCGGTAGAACACGATAAGATCAGCCCACGTAATCAGCTGATTTCACTCAATTCGGTCGCATGTGCTGTGTCGCGCATGAGAACGACACTACGGCGTCCTTGGGGAGGAATCGGAGTGAAATTGAATGACGGACACTCGTTACTTACGTGGACCTTATCAATTTGCGTCCGGGTATCTTTAAAAACCGATAAAAATAAATCGATAATATGTCGATATAATGATAAATTTGTCACGACTGATTTCGAAGGATTTAATTGAACGTTGCAATCTCCGTGCTTGATTAATTTTTACATTTGCGACTGTCGCGATTGTCGATCAATTGTCGAGATTATTATAATTTTTGTATTTATTTGTTGCAGAATCATCATCTGCGTCGCCAGATTACTTCCACCGAGACCTGTTGCATTCGCATCGATCGTAAGTACGCAGTCGCTAAATTTATAAAAAGCGTATGTTTTTTCTATTGAGGTCAAAGGTCATTCTAATATCGTCCGTCGGCCCTATACTGTCGCAAGTCTATTTAAATAACTTTACTCGAAACCAGAGACATTAGATATGGGCTTAGATTAGAAATTTACACGTAATATTAATTTAATGTTTGCCATACGTTATAGGAAAATAATATAGCTGATCATGAACCTCTATCGCAATAAGCGACCGACGTGAATCTCGCTGTTGCTTATCAAAACCGGCAGAGATATCGATCTTCCACTTATTTAATTTCATTTTCCCTTTTTTATCAATTTCCTCGTTAGCTTCTAATTCACAGTTGACACAAACAAATCCCTAAAATTGCAACACCCAACGATTAACAATAATATATTACAATACTATCATTGTCCTTTATTAAAAATATATTGATTATCTCGTAATGGCATGCAGTGCCGCCCCTCTAATTCATGCGGTTAATTATTATCTGCAGTTTCAAAATAAATTTGTAATAACGGTGCAGTCCCACGTACAGCATATGGCAAATTTAAAACTTATTCAATTAATAAAGATTGTCTTATTTTAAAATGATTTTAGTGGAAAAATTGATGTAATTCTTAAGTTTTACGAAACCATTGCGTTCGAGGAACGCGCTATCAGCGCCTGTCCTTGTTTTACGTCTAAATTATTTAAAAATCATGCAAAACTTAATTGTTTTAAGTCTAAAAATAAAATGGTACAATAGCGCTGATAGCGTGGTCCTTGAACGCTGTTCATGCGCACGTTTTGTACATCAAAATTAAAGTGAACACGGCAAAGTAACGTTTGAGACGTTTCATCTAAGTTTCCTTTATTTCTTTTAATTTGTTTTTTTTTATAGAATTTTCTTTCTCAATCATGACTTTGACGTTGTATTACGATCTACTGTCACAACCTTCGAGAGCATTATATATATTTCTCGAAAAGTGTAACATACCGTACGAAAAGAAGTTTGTAAATCTGAAGAATCGCGAGCAATACACTCCAGAATTCGAACGGATCAATCCATACAAGAAAGTTCCTGCCATAGAGCACGATAGCTTCAATCTCTCTGAAAGGTATTACCCTCTTCGCAGAATAATATAAATACCTTAATTTAATTGTCTTAACCGTCTTCGATGATGGTTTTAGCGTAGGGATTGTGCGATACATCAGTCGAGAATTTAAAGTGGACGATCACTGGTATCCGTCCGATTCGAAAAAACAGGCGAAAGTTGACGAGTATCTCGAGTGGCAGCATCTCAACACGAGACTTCATTGCTCGGCGTACTTTTTAGCGAAGGTGAACGCCTTCCTTGTCTCTTTCTAAAATGCGTTTTGCAGAATATTTAAACGTATTTTTTAAAAATATAGTTTCTTAATCCGCTCCTACGGGGTAAACCGCCAAAGCCGGAAAAGGTGGCCGAATTGGAGGGTCGTATGAGCGATTGCCTCGACATTATTGAAAACGTATGGCTAAAAGATAAGCCGTTCTTGACGGGAGACACGATTAGTGTGGCTGATATATTCTGCGCTTGCGAATTGGAACAACCGCGTAAGCTACCACGAATCTTTCGATGTCATTACATACACCGCGTTTACGCGTTTTAAGTAATAAGGAATTCTTTTCTTATCAAGGAATGGCTGGTTACGATCCGAAAAAGGGGAGACCACGAATGACTGCCTGGATGGAAAGAGTTGCCGCGGAAACGAGCCCTCACTATCAAGACGCTCATAAATTCTTAAACCAAATTGCCGCCGCAAAGCTTTAAACTTTAATTACAGATAAATACTACTCTCTCTCTCTCTTGATATATGATTAAATATGTATCATATATATGTGCAATCTATTCTAGATGATATTTGGTTATTTTGATACTTTTAGTATTTTTAAAATAAATGTTTCACATTTATATACGCATAATACGCATTGTGGGAAAATTAATAAATTTATGTTATTTGTTTATTTTTCCATCCATTTATTTGCCATTTATTCATTTTAATAAAACTGCGGTGCTGCAATTTCTTTACAAATTGTTATAAAAGTATAAAAAAGTTGATTATGTAACAATTAAGAAGCATTGGAACAAATATATAGTAAGCGTTATTTCTTACAGATACGCGGCTTTTAAATGCATACTCGTAAAACCGATCATTTTATCAGCTGTTTTTAAACACACATTTTTCCATTAACAGTTTAAATTATTTTTCAAGTTACTGATTTTGCAGTAAGTCTCCTCGTTGCAACCGTATTGACGTCGATAATGAGAAATCGTATGAACTTTTTACATAATTTATAAAAGAAAAAAAATTTATATTCTCTCATTTCTCGTTTCTGACATTGCGAGCCAATGTGATTGCAACGAAGGATCAGGAGTTTTAATAAAACAAGCAGTCGTATACGCAATCATTATGACTATACCATAACGACTTGTGACTGTAAGGTACATGAGAGGTAGCACGTTCGTAACATCCGTTACATTACAACATGTATTATACCGATGAGCTTATACTTTCCGTATTATATGCTGCTATTGCACAATACATATGCCATTTAAGATATAATACGAGGTGCGCTGAACTCTTTGTATTTCGCAGTTCATAATTTACAAAGCAGAACATCAGAGACCGTGAGCGAAGTACCATAAAATTACAGTAAGCGTTTATCTTACGACCAGGCACTTTTATCACATTCGTGGTGTAAATCCGATGCGACTGCAAGACACAGAATTCGCATTCGTTATAATTTATAGTACATTGACTAGAGATACATAAATTATCAGTGAAAATACATGTAAATCGAAACGACAACACACTTCCTTCGTTTTTTTTTCTTGGTTATTGTGTTGGTCATTAAATGACCAACACAATAAATGACTTCATTAATATTTTACAGACACTGAATTTGTTTTTTTGCGGATTCCCGTATAATTTTCACGATAGCTCTCTCAGATCAGTTTTTTTAGCTTAGGCATTCTCTTGGGACATTTCTCCACGTGGATGTTCCAGTGACGAGTTTGGCACCTCTCGTCGCAGTAGAAGGCCGTCTCGCAGCCCAGGCACTTGAACATGGACCCGGTGAGGCCGCAGTTGGAGCACTCCAGATTGCTCGTAGTCTCCTGAGTGCGATTCACCTTACCCAAATGTGGCGTTTCGCAGTTACGATTCTCTTTCCGCGCGGGTTCCTTGGCGGCCAGCGCGCTGCTAGACGGCAAGATCGTTGCGGGCTTGTACGTCGACGTGGGTGGCGCCGAGGATGCTGCCGTCGGCTCCTGTGCGTTGTCGTCGAAAATCGCTGTCGACGACTGGGAATAGGCATCGTCCGCTTTCACGTAAGGCAATCGGTCCAATAATAAATTCTGCAGTTGCCGGTAACCGCCGTTATTCAATCGCGAATCCACGTTGACACCACCGACGGATGGTTGTACCTGCTCCTGCGGCAACCGTTCGCGATTCGCCACCCTGTTCGTCGCTATCAGCTGCGACGATTCGTTATCCATGACACCGCCGATTCCTCCGGGTACCATTTCCGTGTCGGTTCTTCCGTACGACGGCAGCGTGCCGCGCTGCCGGCCGAAGGAAGCCGCCGCGACCACCGCGGCAGCTGCCGCCGCGGCGACGACATCCGGGATCATTCTGTTCCTGCCGCACTGGCCGTTGCTCGCGGGATAGCCGGCCAGGGAGGTGCGTGCCAGTGATTGCTGCGCGGGGGCCGCTAACGGCGGAGGCGGCGGTAGCAGCAGGGGTGGCAGACAAGCCGACGCGGTGCCGTTTTGCGTGGCAGCCGTCGCCGTCCTCAGACGATCGTAGTCCAGGCCGGCAGCGGCGGCGGCGGCGGCGGCGGCCGCCGCCGGCTGATAGCCGCCCGCGGATAGGGTGCCGGAATACTTGAGGAGATCCGTGGTGAAGTGGCGAGACGCCGTGTCTTGCAGATGCGCCGGGTAACGTTTGTCGAGATGCTGCATCTGACGGAGCGAAGAGGCGTGCGGATCTTGCAAAGGGCCTATTTGATAGCCGCTTATCGGCGGTGCGGTGGCATGCAGGCGAGAGTGATAGGGGTAATCGCCGTACGGGCATACCGCCGAGTGGTAGCCGAAAGCCGCGCCGTAAGGATCGATCTGCAACGGCGAAATAGTTAAATGATCAACTGTTTAAATGACTACACCTATTGCGGATAAAATGCTTTATTCTCTAGGCGCGCGATTGGCAAATATAAAATTGACATCTAGCGGATGCATTCACTTTGTACTGCATTGATTGTAATCCCTGGTAATCGTCTTATTTTTCTTACCGCATAATTAGATGGATAGAACTGGGTAACCGAGATGGGTGGACAGATGCCCGGTCTCACAGGAGGCGCAGCCGACGACGCGTACAATTGCTGCTGACGTTGCTGATGCTGCTGACGCTGCCACCTTTCCGTATTCCATTGCGGCGCTACGTTGACTATGTTGTTTCGAGTCGCGTTACTTGATGCACTCGAGCGGATCTTTTGCGTCTCCAATCCGGGGATCTGTATGCGGAGAAACGATGGAGAATTCGTTAGAACTAATAGTAAAAAATGATTCATCATTTTTGTGAACAATTGGTAGCGGAAATGTAACTTACGCGAGTGGCCTCCGCCGTTGATGCTGTCGGTAAGCTTATTCCGGATTGTAATTTAGATTTCGATTTGGCAGCTTGTTTCTTCGACATTCGCGCTACCCAATTGCCCAACGTAGGAAATTGCTCCGTCATAATGCGACTTCCGTCGTTTCGCTGACTGGTCGTACTCTCCTGAGCTTTATTGCAGCTATTAGGCAGACTAATAAATCGATTGCGTGGAAAAAAACACATGTTAAATTAAATGTTAATCAAATTTAAAATTATGCAACACCTATATATTATACTTACACGATACATTGTTGATTTGAGCTGCTGACGGTAGACCTAGATTGAGCGAATCCTAGAGGTATTATTGGATCCAAGGCCGTAGATTGATTTATGCTTGACATTACCTAAAAGAACGAAAAATTTAAATCTGAAGAAAATTATTTTTTCTAAATGCTCGAAAATAAAAAGTTTGCTAATAAAAAGAAGTAAAATAAATATATGATCGTTAATAGCATGGCACAAATCATTCGCATTCAATCACACGAAATAAATTGCAGATTTAACGAGAAAGAATATCAGAAATCACAAGAAAAATTGACACGAAATTATAATAAATTAACATAAATCTTATAAATTCTATATGTTAATCACGCAATACAATTGTATTTTTCTTAAAAATGCAGAGACAAGATAAGACATACAGTTTTATGGATTTCAATATTTTATGGCAACTTGTGACCGTTATTAAGCTTAAATAATTTTTTACAGATTACCTTCTGCACGTCCCTCGAATTTTGTATGACGTCCGTGAAAACGACGTTCTCGCGTGCGACAGACGGACCGTAATAATTCGACTGCAGCTGCACGATGTTAGTCACATTGGCGGCGGGCACTTGCGGCCGTCCAATTATCGTTGACGCTTCCTGTGCAGCCATGACTGTGCTCGTGACCACCCTGTTCTTGCCGTTGATCCTTTCCTCCGAGCTGTAAGTCCCATATTCCGTTGTTTTCCTAGTTTCCTCCATGATCGACGGATTAGCCGGCAGAGCCTCGCTCGACTTCTGTTCCAGCTCCTGTTTCTCGCAGGCGACTTGTTTATTCGCGACGATTTCCGAAGCCTGTGTCACTTCGTCGAGATGTCCTTGAGCGACCTCCTTCGTGTCTGGCATATCGCTTCCGTCTATCTCGATGTCCATCGTCGAATCTAGGAAGCTGTCTGAAGGTATCGTCGGTGACGTTTGACGATGCTCCTCAATGTCGCCAAACGTTTTAGTGTCCTCCGGAATTTTCTCCTCGATTTCCGGATTCTTCAGTTTCGGCAGAGGTTCCTCTTCGTGCCACTCCGCCGTACTGTTTCTCGGATCTTCAAACTCGGACGACGAAACCGGGGATAGAGCTGGCGCTATTACGTCGTCCCGTATTATCGTTTGATCCGTATCGTTCACCTTGACTTCCTTCTGGATCGGCGAGCCCAGCGAGCTGTCGCCTTTGTGCCAGCTTTTGACGACAGCCAGATTTTTCTTCAGACACTCGAGTGCACTCGGTTGAATTGCTATGTAAACTCTGGGTAACACCGGCGGACTGTTTCTCATTGCGTCGGGCGATTTCCCTTTCTCGTAGTCGATGGGAGAACGCGGCGACAGTTTCGGCGGGGAAGGGGACGGGGAAACGCTGCTTCTGGATATTCCATTTACCTTTTCAACATAGATATTAATTAGTGGAAGCGACACTGTATGAAATCATCGGTCGAACTCGATTATTTTTACAGCGTAAATAATTTTCACCTATCGAATTTTGTAATCCGCGATCTTCTTCTCAGCGTAAATTTATTTTATTCTGGGAAGGAGAATTTCACCATTTCATCCAGTTTCATTCTACTTACCTGCGCGACGTCACTCTCGACAGCGGTTTTCTCGACTGACATGCGCTCGTTCAGCTCGTTCTCATAATCAAGATCGACGACGTCGTCGGTCGTCGGCGGTATGGAGGCGGACAATTTGCACAGCAGCTTCGAGATGTTCTCGATCTGCTTCTCGTAGCAATTCATCATCTGCCGCAGCCGAGTGCTGCGCTGCGGGCTCGTGTCGGCGGCGTTGTTGCACGCGGTCATCTCTCGCGAGAGCTCTAACGCCTTACCGCGAAGTTCCCGCAATTTCTGGCGCAACCGGTTGCGACGGTACTTGATCTTGTACCCGTCGCTCTTCGGCGCGAATCGCCGGCTCTTGTCCCGCGCATTGCCCGTCGACGATTCGAGCTCCTTCTCCGAGGCCACGTTGCTCCAGAAAGCGGAGTATCCGGACGGGGACTCCGGACGTGGCGTAGCGCCGGTGACGATGCGATAGTTGGACTCGTTTCCCGTCTCGGCGTTCATCTCGATGTTACGTCGGTATTCGTCGGTGGTGCTCGCTGAGAATAAAAGCAAACCAACGATGACGAAGGGAAGGAATCCACGTTTCCTGAGTGCGTTTCCGAGTAAAATATTTTATATTGAATTGGGACGAAAAATTCACCAATTACATCTTGAAATAAAAAATTTTTGAAAAATAATCTAAATTAAATATCGATAAATTTATTCACGTAATTCCTAGAAACGTTAACTAAACATCAGAATAAAATGTACAAAAATATCTTACCTTCGCGCACAACCTTCTTCAATCTTAAAGGTGGCACGACTTTGTTGCAGACTTCCTTCTTTTCTGTCTCCGGCTCCGTTGTCGACACCACGACCGGTGACGAGTATCTCTTGTCATCCCACAGCCTCACCACCACGTGCTGCTGCAATTTTCTTTCTCCTTTGTCGGCCAAATTACCGGAACAAGTTCTAGAGTACTCCTTCAAAATATTCTTGACACGTTCGTCGCGTATATGACCGGCGTCGACTTCGTGAGATTTTCTCCGTTTCTTCACATCCTTGGTAATTTCTTTGTCGTACTCCTTGTCCTGGTCTTCGCCGTTCTTCCTTTTAACGCTGTTGACTTCTTTGGCAATCTGTAACGTGTGAACCATCGACAATAATAACATCATATAATTAAAGTGCGAATTGTGCTGATATTTAATTTAATTTCCAATTTCGACCCGCGGGCATTACTCGACTTTCGATTAGTTAAATTTACTATGGGCCGTATAGAACAATTATTATTTCGTGAGACCACCCTTTAGTAATAATTTAATTCACTCAAATTTTGATGTGTATTGCATGTCGAAATCATTTTCATACAACGACGGAAAGATCTCGTATTTGTTGAAATAAAAACATGGCACATTCAAAGAAATCGTTTCCTTTTTCGCAAGGGAAGAAAAAAAAACTGACCGACCCTCAGGCCAGTTTGCATTGCTACCTGCACGACATTAGTCATATCTGGAAGAATGTAGTCCGAGCGATCGATGAACTCGCTCGTAAGCATCATTCCGTCTCCGTTCCCATCCTGCTGCCCGAAAGGGAATTCATTCAACTCGTTGGTCAACGAGCTGATGCTCGGAGATACGTTCGATTGCAACTCGACCATGTCCAGACTCGCGGATTTCGACAGCTTGAGGATCGGCGAGCGTGTCTTCCGTAACGTTACTATCGACGCCGCTGACCTCGTCGGCGTCGGTGGCGCAGGTCGGATCGGTAGCGAGCGATTAGGTTGCACAGGGATCACGCAAGGACCACGATCCCTCAAGGCGGTCGCCAGACTGCTGCCCGTGCCGCCGCGTTGCAGTCTGCTGGAACTGTCGGCTATCATGATGCGAGGTTCTGGAAAAGAGCATAATTTATACTTAGATATTATCAGCGCGACAAACAGGACACACGACTTACTCCAAGAGTACTTTTCGTAATCGCTTAGAAAGAAATTCTCAATGTTTGATCACGTATTAATCAAGATATCAATCTTTCTTGTCGCATCGCTCGGCACAATTTTCTAAATCTAAAACCGTTCGAAATCTTTCTTAAAATAGCCTTTTGTTTTTTATGTTTATTTTTATTTTATACTTTCAAAAAAGCCATGTGTTTTAATGATATTAATGAAATTCAACACATCATCTTCTTAAAGGCTATTTCTGAGTAAATTAGCTTTAATGAGCATGATTTCAAACAATGTTTCGAAAGACTATTTGGTCGAAGCAACAAAGGCAAATTAATTCGGATGAATATTTTAACATTGACTTTTAATAATTTAATTTATAGCACGTATGAACATTTTTAATTCCCCGCGCAAAACAAATGTGTTTTCGACAAATCCAATAAATTTTTATCATAAACTTTTTATATTAAAACAATTTTTCAGATCTCGGATTTCTTGGAGAATAGCCGTGAATAAGCAAGAAAACAATTTTTTTTTTTCGCGCAAAATCAAATGTTAAAAGGAACAAAGGAGATTGGAGACCGGTTTATATAATACTACTAACTTATAATTTTCCTAGTGATAAATATATACATTTACATATGATTGTTTCTGTTCCAAGTATACATGTGACAATATATTACTTCTTGAACATATGTATATTTGGTATAAGATCTAAAAATCGACGATTATGAGGCGTTATATTACTTTTCCTCATTATCTCACGTTCTCACCCGACATCTCTGAGCTCTCTTCGGCTTCGCCGAATCGCTTCAGGATTGTCTGCTTCCAGGCAGCTTGCTTAGACTCCTCGCTGGTCAGATCCACGAGGACTGGAGCTTCCCCGTACTCTATCGAGTGCTCGACCGTGCCCGACGTGGAGGCCGTCTTCACGACGTCGAGGCCGTCACCCATGTAATAATCCGGACGTTTCGCCGGTTCTACGTCTCGGTCGCTCATCAGGCCGCCTTCGATGTTACGTATCCTCGCGGCGCCGTCCTGCTGCTGCAGCTGACATTCCGCGCAGTCCTTGCACGTGGCGCACACGTCGGCCTCGTCCTCCTCGAGCTCCGTCGAGCTGGAAATTTGCGGACATGCCGTCCTTCCTTCATTGCTGGCGTCGCTGTTCTCGCAAAAGAGCTCGACGATGTCGCAGGCGATGACGTTGGAGTCACTCGCATCGATAACCGTGGAGCATCCATCGAATCGGGTCAAGCGCATCTTGGTGTCGCTAGACTTGCCGCGCAGCTTTTTGCCGCGGGTTATCGTGACCCTGGGCCAACGGGTTCTAGTCACGTGCGTCTGACTGGACTTGTCCTTCGAGAGCTTCCTCTTCCGCGGCTTCAGCGCGATGGACAGGTGCCGATTGTGCGAACGCATCTTTCTTTATCAAGTGACACAATCAGACTCGAGGATTTTTCCGAAAGTTCGATACGCACGTCCTTGGAACATTTCGTGTCCCGCATTTCAAATTATTCAGATGAACGGCATCCTTCTCCTCCCTTGCATTCGCAGGACACGCGCTGCAGTAATAATTGCGGTTGAAAGGGACGAGGGCGGGGGAGGGGGAGGGTTGAAAGAAGGGCAATTAAGTATTAAACAGCCAACGGTATACTTTAGCAGTTTTGGTTCGATAAAGTTGAACAAAGTCTCGCGATGCAAATAATACATATAGGGGGGAGCGAAGAGACGCTCGCGCTCGCGAAAGGGAAGGCAATAATTGCGAAGCTTCGTGCGCTACATGTCAACCGTTCTACGTGTGGTGTTTTTTTTTCTTTTTTTTTCGTCAGAAGTCTCCTATCGATTTTCATCGATCGTTCCTCGTATACGCACTGTGCATCGAGTGTGTCTTTCACTCCGCGTTTATGGCAACAGAACACACGAAAAAGGGAGAAATTACGCTTCGCACGCGATGCACGCCCCCCTTGTCCCATCTTCTCTTTCTGCTGTGTCGGACGCACACATGCATTTCTCTTTTTTTTTTTCTTGCGCGGAAATTCACGGTCGCGCCAAAGAAGTTGAAAGCGAACCCCTCGCGGCAAATCGAAAATCGAAAAAAAAAGTCTGCACTAAAAACTTTCTTCGTTGTAACATGCACGCGCATGTGCGTGTGATGTAATTACCGTATACTTAACATTGCGAATATAATTGTTGAATGATGCGATAATCAATGTTTAAGCGAAACTGCTAGCAGCGAACCAGTATGGAAATAGAAATGAGCTCATAGTTTAGATTACGAAATTGCCGGTATTTCATAAAGCCTTCAACGATCTATTTTTATTTTAGTTACTTACATATTAGTCATACAAGTTATAAGTTAACTGTAAGTTCTTTTATTTTACTTCTTTTAGCTTTTTTAAATAAATAATCTAAAATAAAAATGGAAATAAAAATATGAGGAATATCTCTCTTTAATATTTTTACTATTTACTTACAGGTTGCATCCTGTGTTTTTAATTAATAATTATATTTATTAAATAACTTTTCATTTGTAAGTCTGATTACTCTACATAACGTACATAATGTATATTTCTTTCTCTCGCAAATAATATTTTAGCAATAAGATAATATTTTGCTTTATGCTTGTTTGTATGATTTTTTATTTTTATATATTATCTTTTTCAGGCAAAAAATATGACGAAATTTGTTAATTATAAGGAAATATGTTTAACGTTACCGGTCAAGAGACTTTGTTCCCATTCGTCGAGGTCACGCCCTCAATTTTGATAACGAAAGAAGTACGGATGCAAATTACCTTTGCAAATTGTCTTCGGCCACGTTGAACGAATACAGTAAACAATTGTGCAAAATTACAACACTGCGAAAATCCACACAGATAAGGTATCACATTTAATTTACCGTTACCAAAGTATGTTAAATACATATGTATTATATATCAATATCATTTTCATATTGCATCAGACTGAAGGCGTTTTACTTTTTCGCTTGATATACAAAGCTCACCCCCGAAGGTTTAGTTCCTGTTATCACTTTCTATCGTTGCTTTCGATCGTTAGCATCTGCGAGTTAATGTATACTCCACACCAAATTACATCACCATATCGCTGCGACAGGAATTATGTGTCAGCCACCCACTCATCGGAGAGAGACCACCGATCCATGCAATAAGATATAGAGAACCGCGAGACTTCACACTCTATTTCTCCTTTTCTCTTCTCTTTTTCTCTTTTCTTTTGTAGACATCTGTTTCCTTCGAGACGTAATACCACGCCTTGTACTTTTTTATCCCTCTTCTTTTCATTCAGTTTCCACGGAAACTTGCACAAATTTTCACAGTATTCGACGGTACCTCGCATCGTTTACAATCTATTCGGAATTTTTACAGCGATATCGGACAGCGGAACTCGTTATCCACTTTATTCAATGTTCCGGCGGCGGGTACGCCGAGCCGCGGCGAACGTCATCTTACGCGCTTTGAAGACGATGTCCGCGGTATGCCCCCCCACGTGTGTCACACGAGCTGTAATGTAGACTGTCATGCGAAGGAGCGAAGCCGGCCGGCGAAACGATAGAGCAATGTATTTTTCCCCCTCTATTTAACACCACACGCGTGACGGCTCTCTTTCGGGAGCCCTTCGACGCGACAGGCGTATTTCAATTGGCCGTTCAGGACGCGCATCCTCTGGCGCAGGCGGAAGGACGATCGGAGAAGGGACACGCGAGTCGATCACGTTGATGTCTCCACACCACCGTTTTTTTTCTACAGCCCCGTCGCGCGCTCACGCGACGCTACATTCCCGAGAAATTTATTCTCTCGGGGTCAATCGAGAGAATTTTTAGGAGTCCTTGAAATTCAAAGCCTCCCCCCCTCCAATTCCGAAACTCTTTTTCTTTCTGTCGCTTTTTATGATCGAAAACCATCGCGCAATACTCGATGCTTATTTTTACTTTTTAGCGCCTCGATCGTAAAACATATTAGGTCGCATTACAGGCAACAGAGCTGCTAATGCTTTACTTATCTGCAGTTTTATGCGACCGCTCAAGGATTAACGATAAGTACGTGACGATAAAAACGCAGCTAGTGCCGTCGTAAAACTTGGCGCGCGCCTTCCTTATATTTTGATTTATGCTTTCCGTAAGTATCGACATAAATATAATCTCACGATCATCATTTTCATCTTAAATCATAAGCTAGACTCTAAACATTAATCTGTTTGAAACAAGAACTGTCATTTTTATTGGATCTGTTTTTACAGAGCTTTGGCTAGGTCGACGAGTCTCGCAAGCGCGCATAAAACTCGTTCGCGTCGTAACAACAGCATTCCAAGTTGGAAAACTCGTTCCGACGTCGTGGCTAAAGAAAAAAAAAATGAAATATAAAATTTCCACGGGAAATTTCCAAGTCGTCCGGCCGCGGCGCGGAGAACTTTTGAGCGCCTCGTCAATACAAGGGGGATGAATGCTTCATGCACCCCACGCGGATAACGTTAGCGTGACGCGTATAACCAGGCGGCAGCGCGGAACCCTTTCGCGGAGAGAAAAGAGGCTCTTTCATAATTTACCGGTCCACTTACAGGTATCTTCTTTGTAGTTTTGCGTTATATAAGCCCCCGCTTAGTTAGTGTACGTAGTAGCGCAACCTTGTACTACCCCACCAGCTGGCGTCCGAAGAGAGTGTCGTTTCTTTGAGTGGTACTTTCTAGCGAGCGTATATAATATAGTTCCCGAAGAGGAGGAGAAGAGAGGATTCCCATCTTCGATCGCACGCTGCTCGTCCCGAAGGATTACTTACGAGAATATTCCACGTGGCGGTATACATATTACGTCACGGTGCTACATATTGATATCGGGCTCAACTCGGGGATAGAGAGAGAGATATATATATACAGGGGATATAATTAATTAGGCTTAGAAACGAAGTCTCAAACTACCACGTGCCACGTTCAACTTTAATTAACCGATAACGGATAATGGCGCGGCGATAACGAAAAAGATAGCAGTCGTTTTCTTTGTTGTGACAACGACAACGGAACATTGTACATGTGCGGCGATGTGGCCGACGAATGTTATACGTCTATAGATAGATCTTTACAGCGAAACGTGTGCCTTCGCTTCGCCGTAGCCGATACCTACGTCCGGGTATATAAGGGTCATCGACATATCCTCCTTTGCAAATATCGACGAAATCCGAGCAAGATCGGTCCGCGGTTCGCGAAGAAATCGTCGCTCGCTCGCTCGCTTCCTGGAAGCTCAACCGGTGACGATCTGCCTTGCGCTTATACGCTTACAGAAGCGAGCTTATCGATTGAAAAGTTTCGCAGACCGCGCGATTTCGCGTTGATAGGTATCCTTCAAATTCTTGCGAGCGGCCGTGTCGAGTGGGGAAACAGTATAGAGAACGGGTTGAAGACGGAATAATATATATACATTTCTGTAGTTGGAATTATATCGATCCGCTTACGGATAATTGCGCCATTTGTTAAACAAGCAAAAAAATTAAGTATGCTTCGAGAGGATATTATTTAGCGAACGATCGTTCATCAAAACACCGGCTTTAATTATAGGAGAATTATCGAGGAAATTAATTTCCATCTCGCCAAGGCTATCTGGATTTTATAAAGCTGTAAGATAATAATTATTCGATACATTCTAAATGAAAAAAAAATACTTACTCAATAGGGCGGAGCTCCAGAGTGATCCGTGACTTTGTTTATCATTCCTTGTTGACAATCAGACCATCATCCTCTGAACGCATGGTATCCTGCTGAGAGATGTGCGTTGTGTGTACACAAGAGTCACTGTGGACTCATGCGATCTCATCTGGATGTTAATTTTCGCATTTATCCGGACCGCACATTAAATTTTCAATCACTGAAGTATTTTTTTCAATCACTCAAAAAAAAACTCAACCAATTTTAATATTTACAAATTAAAGCGGCAAGGTCCGATATTATTTAATCTCCATTGAACCCTTATTTCAGCGAGTTTAACACCGAGAGGCGAGACGATATTCTTATATCCATAAACCGGGAGATGTAGGAGGAGATTCGTGCTATCGATAATCCATCACGTCGCACTTCCAGCTGTCCCGTCTGTATAATCTGCCGTGTGTAATTTCATGTCCACGATGACGCGGCGACGCCGACCGATGTATCGCGCGCGACGCGACACGACGCGCCAGACCGATGCGTCGGAGCCGATGAGCAACACGCGAGTGTGATCGCCGCGTCGAGGTACAACATAGCAGCGCCACGTGGTACGTCGAGGTCGTTACCGTGGGGGGCTGCCGTCGTTAGGGTTCCCCCGGATCAACCACGGCGAGGGTGACGACAACCTGCGCCCGACGAATCCTCTATTTCGCGGTTACAGCTTCGCCAGCTGGACGCTCAATTGTGATGTAATCTGCAAAATGAACACAGAAATTATGTATTTAACAAATAGTATATTTTCTCTCTCTCTCTCTCTCTCATAATGTCAAAAGCCAATAAATATCCTATACAGAAACTAAATAAACTGAAATACAACGCGGTACAAAAAGGATGAATATCCTTCACAGTAGAATTGATGAAATAAATCTTTTTCTACAGATATAAAATTTGTCTTAACAGTTATAAAAATAAAAAAATAAAAATGCCCTTGATATTTTATATACATTTTAATTATTCAAATTTTAAATAATTTCTTTCAAGTAGAATATATTTTGTATTTTTTTTATTACTTTTTATTTTTGTTGTGTTAACAGCCGCTCTTGAGACTGTCGTCGATAGTCATTTAAGTATAAAAAGAGTATAAACATACGTAAATACGATGCGTAAATTATTTATCGTCGCAATCAATATATTGGAGATAGCGCTTGAGACATGATATGATTTTTATATCTCACAAAACGCTTTTTTTCTTACAGGGAAAGACACGTATCTTGTTATCACAGGCATAAAGACGCCGCACAGTCGATCTGATCCTTTCAAATTAGATGAAGAGTTGTCGATCTAATTTGAAAGGATCAGATCGATTGTGCGGCGTCTCTCTTCTCGCATCGAGGATTAAAACTTCGAGCTAAATTTAACTCACGGACACGTAAAGCACGTCCCTACACACAGCGATCGATTGTCTTTTGTCTCGAATTGTCGATCTGTTCAAAGACTCTTGACCATTTGCACAAAACTTCTGTCCTTCGTTATTGATCGAATAATTATTACCCATAAAGTTGATATGCCGTTTCCTATAGTTATTTGACTTGAGCTATTTTACAATGTTTAATTCATTCGTACTGCAGTACGACGCGCAAAACTGTAAGCAGAACAAAAAGGAGGAGAAAAAGAAATACAAGACGGAGAGAAAGGAGAAAAAAAAGAAGTACAAGAACATGATGATGACGGAGAGCAAAAAAAAGGCGATGACTCACGTTGATGAGAAATAAATTACATGCGAAAAGAGAGTAGAGTATAGCTCGAGTCCGAGCTATCTTGAGTATGAATTACGTTCTCATGGCAACTGATGGCGGGGAAGGTCAAGTGCAGGGGTGAGATCGCGTACGCGAGGGCGACGGCAAACGGGGTTGCGACCGGTTGCGATGTACTGCTCTAAGCGACAATTTTTAATAATGTAACGTAAACATTGCGATGTTTACCCCCACGGGCTACCTCGGAATTAGGTGTGTGGGGACAGACGTGTATAGATACTATATATATATATATCACGCGCGGGGTGCACGTCGTCGCTTCTATATCTTCCGGTTCAGCGATTGCTTGAGCAATCGTTTGCATCGAAGAGCAAAAAAAAAAAAAGCAGGCGCATTTCAGATAGCGTGTGATCCGTGCTTGTCTTTATCTGCCTTATCTGACTACTACCGTGTATATATCGTCGTGGCCTCCGCTTAATTTTGCTCACGCGATAGGCGTACGCATACGTATCGATAAGCGTAATTTCATGTGCGTCGCTCACGAAGAAAAGAAAAGAGAGGGAGAGTTTCCCCTTTTTTCTATCCTTCCTGTTTTTTTCGTTTGTCTCTCTCTCTCTCTCTCTCTCTCTCTCTCTTTCCTTCTCTCTTTCACGCAACCATTCTTATTTCATAAGCCAGGACAACGATACGTTATGTACTGTATACTTTTTCATTATGCAATTTATATGCATTTGCGATCGCATGGGAGAGAATTCTTAGTATATCTTTTGTGCGTTCCGAGTAGACGGTAAACTCTATCGATTCCTATCGTTAACGAATATTCGTACTTTCTTCGAAGTGTACCCGGAGTGGTCCTCGTTTTGCCTCATCTGCAAGATTATTGCCCGTTATCGCTTGCCGTTCGCGGTAGGACGTGTAACGCGATCCCGGTAACACAATCGTATCCACTTGTATCCCCGCGTGCATAATTCCTCCTATCGAACAAACAAAGGAACGGTTACTCGTCAGCAAACAGTTAACGACGTTCGCTCGACGCGGTCGCCCGCGCTTACCTATCAGGTTACTCCGGACTCTTTTCTCATCTTTCGTCGCCGCGGTGTCAAGGTACCGCCCGACGCAATTTCAGAAAGAGCTGGCGGTGCAGCGCGGCATACCAGATGAGAAAACGCGATCCCGCACACGAGATCATTCCACGGCCGTTGGCTGGGTGACATTTTCTCTCCACCAAGAAGACGGTAATCCCCGCGATAGTCCCGGCACGTAAACGTCATGTCGACCAAGACCGTGGTGCGGAGAACGAAATCCGGCAGCTTCGAGTATCGCGGCGACTCCAGATTTCCACCGGGCGTGTACACGATCCATCTGCCGTCGACGTGCGATCGTACGCTCGGAGACCGACCGATTCATCTGAAAAGGAGTAGCGCGTACGAAGGGAAAGAGGTAATGCAGTTAATACCCTCTTCCTGAAAAAATAGCGGAACGTAGGCACGCGACTTCCTCGTTCAATATAATATATAATTGCAGCTATATTAAATGTCAAGGAAAAAATTGTCTCCATTTAATAAATTCATCTGTAAATTGAAACAGTTGTGTGTAAACGGGTGAAATGTTGACGGCAGGTCGGGAGGATAAGGGATAAGAGCGGCACGAGAAAATATCTGATTCCCTCGAAGGAGCCTATGGTCTATCCGAAGATCATGACGAGGAAGGAGTACGAAGACCTGAAGGAACGCAGCCGCGAGATGACGAAGGAGGAGAGGCAGACGGTCGCGGAGGCCGCGGAGAAAAAGAAGGAGAGACTGATGAAGGAGAGCCTGGCGCGGAAAGAGGCAATTCGCACGATGGACATGCAGAAGAAGGGCCGCGAGAAGGATCCGAAAACGCGGGAGATCGAGGAGGAAGCGAGACGAAGAACGATGCACGTCCTCGAGCGGGCGTACAACATGCGTCTGGAGCAAGAGGAGGAGATACAAAAGTGCAATCGGCTCATCCTGGAGACCAAGTGCCGAACTATCCGCGACGCCCAAGTAAACCCACCGATTCCACAAACGGGATCCCGCGTGTGACGTAACGTCACCCCCGTAATGTCTAATTTTCGTACATTTAGCCGTCCGTTTGCAGATCGCGGAGAAGAAGCTGATGGAACGGGAGCTTCTCGACGAGGAGAAACGGCTGGACGACATGATGGAGAACGAGAGGAGATGGGCGATCAAGGAGGAGTCGCGGAAGGAACAGGAGGCGGCGGCCAAGGGGCTGCGATTCGCCAAGACCCTGAAGGAGCAGATTGTGGAGAACGAGGAGCAGCGGATCCTCGAGTTTGAGCGGAAGCAGGAGGAGAGCCGGCTAATCAATTTAAATAACATCGCCTGGCAGCAGGACGAGATTGAGAAGCTACGCAACAAAGAGGCGGAAAATATTAAGGTGCGGCAAGAACTTGCGGAAGGGAACGAACTGTTGAAACACTTCAAGGCTATGGAACGGGAGGAAAACAGAATTATAGATCTAAGGTGTGTTTTACCAGAGCTTTTTCAAAATTATTTCAAACAACCTACCAGTTTTTTAAATTACTTTGAAACTACTCTCTAAAAGTGAATCAGTAAAATCATCACTGATTTTCAGTGTTCTGGCAATATTCAATATTGTTTCAGTGATAATGTACTGATTCAAACAACGAATATCACTGAAAGACAGTAAATTTCACTGTCAAACAGAATTGAAGACTGAAATCAATGATAATTCCACTGATTCACTTTTAGAGAGTATCCCTTCAATATTAAAAAATAATTATCAAATTTAACTTTTCAGGATACAAAACTATCATCGACTGAAGGAGGAGAGAGAGGCTAAAAAAGCAGAAGAGCAGAAATTAGAGAGAATGAAAAAGGAGAGAGAAAAAACCAGTGTAGGGATGCGAACGCTGCAAGCGCACGAGCTTCAGGTATTAGATATCGAGCTTACGGTTCGCGACGGCAGTCTATCATATAAGGAATTCTACAAAGTACATTCTACAAATTACAAGATCGTAAATTTTCTCGCTAATGGAAACGCAATAATTTGCGCGATATATCATATCGCATTGCGCGTATCGTTCCATATACTTCTATATAATTACCTACATACATCCTTGCGTGTCTCAACTACCTGTTGTCGAGGGTCAATGAATCCACGAACGCCACGTCAGGCCTCGCTATCTACAACGTGTTCTCCTTTCGAAATTGCGCTTCGCGTTTTTTTTTATCGTAGCTATTTCTACTAAACAGGGAATTAAGTACCGTACATTTATCGCACAGCAATGCTTTTTTCGCAATTAGAACAATTGATGTATATTGTACATTAATAGTATTCCCTCTTTTTCTCCGACGTCTATTTTTAATGCGTATATATTACGGTCATAATTTATCGGTGTTTTAAAGAAACATTTCAAAAGCTTCATAAGTTATATTATGGCATTACATAACTGTGAGCAAATCGCGGAAATAAATTTGCAGGCGCAAATTGATGAAATCAACGCGGCTCGGGTTCAGGAAGAGGTAGAACGGGAATGGAGACGAAAAGAGAAGGAAGAAGCTTTAAAAAAACTGGAGGCTCAGAGGATTCTTCGAAAAGAAAGGGAGGAACAAATAAACAATAAGCAAATAATGCAAGCCATCGAGATCGAGCGAGAGAGGCGAGAATTCGAGAAGATTGCACGCGCGCAGCGAGCAGCTTTTTGTAGAGAAAAAAAGGAACTCGAGCAAAAGCAACAACAGGCTATGATTCATCGTAATGAAATATTAAAGCAGGTTTGTATCACTTGTCTTTGCGCTCCTGAAAAAATGTTAACATTTTGATATAAATACATACACACACAAAATGATATATATATTATAGATTATATATTATTCTATTTTTCGCTTGGATAGGTAAATGAAAAAGAGCGAGAACGCGTTGTTGAGCGGCAAAAAATGTTTGAAGAAGGCCTGGCAATACGTGATGAAACTGCGATGCGTAAGAAAAAATTGCAAGATGCAATAGAGCGAAAGTGCCAAGAAATGAGAGAGAACAAAGTTCCCGATATTTATATTAACGAAGTGAAACGGATGATTAAAACTATTCAATGAATTATTTCATCAAGCTGAGAAATAAAAATAATTTATTTAAACAATAAGGTTTAAATTTAGTTTTAAAAATAACAAATTACGTATTTTTTCAAATTTTTTCCTTTTTTATGTATAAAAGGAGCTAGCATTTAACTACGACTAGAACTTTTTATTTTAATAATTTAATTTTGTTCTTTGTAATCACGTTTGTATGTATGTACATTATATATTATATTGGTACCGCGGAAAGTCGTGTCGTTTTCCCAATTAAGAGATGTTGCCCAGAAATCCCGGGGCTTCTACACGAGCGGGATTATGAAATTATCAAAAAAATGACAGAAAATCATCGTTCAAAATGGCCAACATCATAGATTGAATAAACACTTTTGTATAAATTCTTTGTGTTTCATTTTCAGGAAAAAAACGACACAAATTTTCCGCGGTACCTAATATATTTTTCTTACATTTTTTACAAATATGAACAAATTTATATAAAATTTCCCAGTAAACGAGAATGAGATTTAAAAAAATTAATTTCAACATTCGCAAATGTGTATATTAAAAATATTATATTCGTATTATGAAATAGAAAAGTATTCATTTCCACGAAGGCCAATCCATTTCAATCCACGAATTAAAAAATTTTAATATATTTTAATCTTTTCCCGTTTACAGGGCGCTTAGGTTTGCAGTCTTTCAATAAACCTCTTTTTTTGCGACACATCACTTCCGTATCATTAGAACGTTTGGATCGCGTTCGATGATATCTTCAATTTGCGCAGCAGACTGACCCGTGCTACAGCATATTTCGTCCAGGCAGTACGTGCCTGTGAAATACTTGTAAATTGGATTGTTTTTTGCTTCTTCACTGCAAACTGCGCCAGGAAGAAGCATGGGATACTATCAGAGAAAATTGAATTAATACATCGCTGTACGGCGCAGCGTACGACGTAATGCAAAAGCAACTACTCACATTGTGCACCCTTCTAATAAGCCCCTCAATCAAACCAAATTGTACGAGCTTCCTCTCATTTATTCTTAAGTTTTGTGGATTGAGACGTTGACACAGGTCTTTCATACTGACGCCGTAAGTCATACTCGAATACATACGGTATATATCCCTGAAATGTGCAGGTTGCCTAGCTGTAAAGAGAAAAATTAACTGTAAGTATTTTGTCGTGACTTTGAAATATAATCATAACGCTCGAAAAAAAAAAAATCACTTACGTAGCTTAGAAGCGTATGCTATACATCTTTCCTGCAATTTTACATCGTCCGGTAATTTTCTTAATTTTGGAGTCACAGCATAGACGTTAGTGTATTGAAATATCGGGATCAGAGTTACAACTCCGTAATATCTACAAAGATAAAAAAGTGTCTTATAATATAATCGATTAAGAAAATGCTATTTCTCTCTCTCTCTCTCTCTCTCTCTCTCTCTCTCTCTCTCTTTCTAAATATTTCTCTCTCTCTAATTATTTTATATAAATGTAATTCCATACACAAGGTTTTGCACACAGCTTTTGACCAAATTATTCTCCACATCGGCCTCAGCGGCTATACGCGCCACATGATTAAAGCCGTCGATGTAGGGCAACACTTGTTGGGTAGTCAAATCCCACTGATCGTGCTGGAACGAATCGCGATCTTCCAAAAATATTGGTACCTGATGATCGAGAACTGGTTTTGGTTCAGGCGCCAACCTCACGACTTTCAAGTGTGACGTCATTGTTCCTTCTAATAAAATATCACACATAATATATCATAATATTTTAAATATAACATATATGTATACATATATGAAAATTACCAGTTAATGTACACATTTTGTGCAGATTTAAATCCCGCATGACCTGTGCGAGCATCTCTGCCAATCTGGTCTTGTCATCCGAGGCGGATAGAAAGCAATTTTCTATTTCCAAAGCCATCTGACAATGAAAATTAGTACACGTAAATTGCTATATTTCCTAGAATATTGAAGGCGTAAGAAAGAGATCCATAAGATTTTCACCAGAAAATCCGACATCTTCTTAACCACCGGCTCATAATGAACAGTGCGAGCGTTTGCATCACAGACGAAACACAAGTTAAAGTAAAACGCATTCCTTGCGTACTTCTTGTCGTCAATCTTCACGGGAAAGCCCAAGATTTTATAGTCCTTCAGTGTGCTAGAAAGAAAGAAAGTAATTCTCTCAGACAAGAGTGTAAAAAAAAAATTAAGAGTTGACCAGTTGACTTCACGTAGCTTTATTTACTTACATTGTAATGGTACTTCTTTGCAACTGTGCCTTCGGTATGATGTAAACACTGACATTGTCGAAAATGTCCTTGGATATGTAATTATCGGGCACCTGTAAAAAGAACGCCCGTGAGTTGCAAACGCAAAAACGGAGCGTTCAATCAGTTCTCTTGCATGTTCACAACACAACGCGTCGCCTAACCTGGCATGTAATTTTGGGTCCCACTATATGATGAAACTCGGCAAAGAATATGCATCGAATCGGATCCTCTTGTTCCCTGTCGCCAACGTTTTCCAACGAGACGGATGCCATCGCGTCTTTTCGCCTCTTTACTCAGGACTGTGTAAAAACTCATTCGTGGAGAAGCCGCCGTGTCAAATCCGCGTCCGGCATCGTTCAAAACTTCTCAGTCGCGCTGCTGCCATCTGACAACCTCAACACGTGCGAGCGAACTAAAGTCTGACGCGCACAGCTGACAGCACGTGCGTGCGTGCGACGGAATTCTCGGAGCACGCCGTGCGAGCGACGAGGCATGCTCGAGAGGGAAGAATATATTTCACGTGTATACATCTTCTTTTTTAGTTTGTGACATTTTGCGATTTCACGAGATGAGTAAAAGGAAACTCAACGACGCGACCGAGGAGTCCGCCGCTCCGACGGACGGCGGTGAGGTTAAGAGGGTGCTGTCACGTTTCAAATCGGACACCGGCGAGGTCCTGCCCGGCGGCCTGCTGGACCTGCCGGTCGACGTCACGGTGGACAAGCTGCAAGCGATCTGCAATGCCCTGCTGCAGCAAGAGGAGCCGTTGCCTCTGGCGTTCTACGTGAACAACGTGGAGGTCACGGATGTACTGGAGAAGTACGTCGGCAAGGATTTCAGCATCAGCGAGGACGTCGTGGAGATTGTGTATCAGCCGCAGGCGGTATTTAAAGTCAGAGCCGTCACGAGGTGCACCGGATCTTTAGAAGGTTACTTGGTCAATTCCACGCACTCTGTATATCCGATAAAACGAATATTCCATAAACATTTTCTGCTTACACACACAGGTCACAAGGAGGCTGTTATATCCGTCGCGTTCTCGCCGGACGGCAAACATCTGGCCAGCGGTTCCGGCGACACGACGGTCAGACTGTGGGACATCTATACGCAAACGCCGCATTACACATGCGAGGGTCACAGACACTGGGTCTTGTGCATCTCCTGGTCACCCTGTGGCACCAGGCTGGCCTCTGCGTGTAAAAACGGACTGATTTACCTATGGGATCCCAACACCGGCAAACAGATGGGTAAAAGATCTAGATAAAAGTATATTCGTCGAGCTCTCCTCTCTCGGGCAGGAATGAACGCTTCACATTTGTTCGTACAGGAAGAGCCATGGCAGGACACAAAATGTGGGTGACGTCTCTGTGCTGGGAACCCTATCACAAGAATCCAGAGTGCCAGTATTTAGCGAGCTCGTCCAAGGACTGCGACATACGAATTTGGGATACAAAGCGAACGCAGACCTGTCGGGTTTTGTCTGGCCACACGAAAAGCGTGACTTGCATCAAGTGGGGTGGCAACGGTCTGATTTATTCCGCCTCTCAGGACAGGACCATCAAAGTGTGGAGAGCAGAGGATGTACGTATATATATATTGAGCAATTAAAATATTATTAGCATCCGACTGCATTTTTCAACTGATCAATTCCAGGGTGTACTGTGTAGAACCTTAGAAGGCCACGCTCACTGGGTAAACACCTTGGCCTTGAATGTCGATTATGCGCTTAGGACCGGCCCCTTTCAATTGGGATCGACTGAAGGCAAAACGGACACTCCGTTAGAATACGCAAGACGACAGTACGAAGCCGTAGGTGAGGAGAGGCTTGTGTCTGGATCTGACGATTTCACGTTGTTCCTGTGGAAACCGGAAAAAGAGAAGAAACCTATCGGTACATTGCGCATACTCTTAAAATGAAATCAAATCAGTCAACACTGTGAGAAACATTATTGGAAAAATATTTTTCAGCAAGAATGACGGGCCACATGCAGCTTATCAACGACGTTAAATTCTCGCCGGATGGTCGCGTGATTGCGTCTGCGTCCTTCGACAAGTCCATTAAACTGTGGGAATCTAATACCGGCACGTACATCGCTTCGCTGAGAGGTCACGTTCAAGCGATTTATTCGATAGCATGGAGTGCTGACTCTCGTTTACTGGTCAGCGGCAGCGCGGATTCAACTTTAAAGGGTAAACACATTGTCAGGCGTAGGAAAACTGATCAATTTAGAACACTAGATTAGTTGGAAGTAACGTAATCCTTTTTACAGTTTGGAGCGTGAAAACTAAAAAGTTAAGCCAAGATTTGCCTGGCCACGCTGATGAAGTTTATGCGGTCGACTGGTCACCCGATGGTCTACGAGTCGCTTCAGGCGGGAAAGATAAAGTTTTACGACTATGGCAGAATTGAATATATGTAATCGAAGTAAATAAATTTATTAAAAAAAGTTAAGTGTTTTAATTTCTTATTTTTATAAATGAATTATTGTTATATCATTTGATGATATTATTAAGTAAGAATTAAAAGCTATATAGTTTTTATAAAAATCAGCAGCCTTACGTAACAAAATTAATTTTATTAATTAAAGTTTAAGTTATTAAAATGTAAGTATCTGTCATGATCGAGTTATTTCCTGATTTTTCACAGAAATTCTTCGATGTGATGAATATTAGACCGATATATATAATAATAATAAATACTTGAGACTCAGGCTTATTTTTATTAGAAACATCTGTGAACTAAAGTTTTTCTTATTAAAATAATATTTAAAAATATATATTTTTTTAATATCAATTCTTATATAAAAAAAAAGATTTGATAACTTTTACAACAAAAAAATAGACACATTATCCAAAACTCTGAATAAATCTCATCAATTAGAAAATTGAATAAAGCCTTTACTTACAATTAGATTTGAAAATAAAAATACGAAAGATGTAATTCAGATAATTTCGAAAGACAAAGTTTATTAACATAATAATTAAACGTAAAATATTTATATATATTAACGCGGTATATATTTGTCGTTCAAGATCGTTTAAATCAGCGTTTTGGGTACAATTGTCCTTTTCGAACAGAAGTATTTTAAGTATTCTGCTTTTAATATAACTTACCTTGTATGATTATAAATAAATCATAATTGATGCGCAATCGTTAAAACACAATATCTTATAATGTTACATGAAAATCCTGTGCACGTTCGTTATTGTCTTATCATTTTAAGGGGTCGTCGAAAGTTAACCATATAACGTTTCGGTGTCTGACATCGTAATACAGCCGATACACATCACATAAACATATTTAAAAATCATATATAAATTATACAGTCGACGGACAAAAGTAAATATACATTTGGTGAACATATTTTCGAGCATCTCCCGAGCGAGGGATGCTCCAATCAGGTGATCAGCTAGGCTCCAGTTGCGCGAATCTCCGCCGATTGATGGGCATCCTCGTTCGCGAAATGCGAACGTACTGCGCACGCGAGTACGCGACTGCGCACCAGGCACCACGAAGCCGTCCAGAAGGGGCAGAAGGTCCTGATGGTGGTGCTGATGGTGCTCCTCCGGACCGCCGGACGTCTGGACTGGGTGATGTCTGAAAATGACGTCTGACAAGTGAAGATCTAACCTCTCCCCCTCCGTTTTGTACACAATTTACACCCGCATTTTTGTCACGGTGCGACGAAAGAGCCCGCCCGTAAAGGAGGTTAACCATGGTAAACCAGATTCGAGAGATGCGATCTCTTTCTCGCGTGATCCGTAAACCGCGATAAAAAGATCGGGCACGCCCGTACATGTTCTCCTTTATCGCGGGATACCGCGCGCGAAGGTGATGATAGTGAGAAAATTGCGAAACCATTTTCCAGGACGACGATGCGGCCGCGCTGCAGAATCTGGAGCAGCTCATGACGGAGTTCTTCTGCCCGGAGACGACGAACGAGAGGAAACGCATCATCGAGCGCAGCTTTCAGGAGTTCGCCGGGCAGATAGATTCCTGGAAACCGTGTCTACATTTCCTGTCCTCCACGAGCAACCACTACGTCAGTATGTTCGCGCTGTCCACTCTGGAGGTAATTACGCCACTTTGCACAGATAGAGACGTGATACTCTCTTTAATTCTTTTTTTTTTTTTGCGATGCGACGCTTCTCAGTCTGAACGTTATTCGACAGACGACTATCAGCAGACGGTGGCCAATCCTTCCATGGGAAGACAGAGCTCTCACGAGATCCACCTTGTACACCCTGTCGCTGGAGAGAGATGTTGCGTCCTTCGTGAGGAACAAAGTAGTGAAATTGGTAGTGGACATAGCGCGGCACGACTGGCCACATTTCTATCCGGATTTTTACTCTAATATTTTACAGGTTTGCGAATAGAGAATATCTTTCTATACATTAAATAAATATGAATTCGGCTGTGTAATACTTTGCTCTCTCTTTCTCTCTTTGTGAAACAGCTGCTAAGCCACAAACACACAAGATTGCTGGGACTCGTGTATTTGCGAACAGCCTCGGAGGAGCTGGCCACGCCGAGGGAGGATTTACCGATGCACAGGAAAAGCGAGCTGTTCAGATTATTAAGTGCACAAGTGCCTCTAACTTTGGATACGCTTACAGGTAGATATATATTATCGAAAGTTGAGGGTTACCTCACGTGTCATGTGGCTTGTGGTAACTCCACTCTATTTCCTTCTAAAAGTTCTTCTGCGAGAAACCACGAAACTGCAAAGCCGTTCCGGGACCGTGACGCCACCTCCGTCGCCCACCAGTGGACAAAGTCTTGCACCGGCGCGCGCAGTGCTGGACGTCGAGGGGCTGGCGACAGGCACCAGTGAAGTTTGTACCGCCACTCTCGAGGTTCTGGCGCATCTGTTCAGTTGGATAGACGTGACGTCGGGCAGCATCTCCACTAACTTGTTGGATGCCATTTTCTCATGTGCCAAGTACCACGATGCAATGGTAGGATTTTTACCTCTGTGGCGGAATGTACGATAGCCGGACGTGTGAGACGTACTGCATGCATTTGTCGATTCTGTTTCCACAGAATAGCAAGCAAATTGAGATGGCCGTTCAAGCCTTGACTACGATCAATGAGCTTTTGTACCGACCACTCTGCTCGCCCGACTCAGCCGACACGTTGTTACTGGAGATATTTCAGAATGGCGTTGGTTTATTCCAATTAATGGAACGTCTGGACTCGGTAGAGGAGAGGTACGGCGTCAAGTGCGTTTACGAAGAACTCTTGCGTTCTCAGCTCAAAAACGTGAAATAAAACGCGATTCTTTCAGCTACATGGAGAAAATGACGGAGTTTTTGCAATTGTTTATAACGAATCACCTGAAGAGAATGGAGTCGAGCTCAAAGTTTCCAGTAAACACGTTACTTGAAGTACTGTGCCATCATACATTCCAGCAAGCGTCCACGGTAAACGGATACTTGCATTGTCTAGACGTTTGGACCATGCTTTTGGAGAGCACTCAGTCGCGATACTCTGCCGTCGCCTTGGCCCTGGCCGAACGGATCTTACAAAAAATGAGCTTTAAACTCAACGCCCGGGTATTGCGAGATCTCGACACGGAATGTTTGGACGAGAATGTAAGTGTAATTGTAAATGTTACATAAACTCTCGCTTAAAGCAATAATCATACTTGTCTCATATCTTATAATCTTTTTTTTTTCTTTTTCTCAGGAAGAGACCGAGTGGCAGCATTTTCTGAGATGCAATATAGAATGTTTGGCAAAGATTGCCGACATATCACCTATCCCGATATTTACGTTATTGGTAATTTTCAATTGGCAATACATCTGTCTTATTTTTATTGAGAACGCATTCATAATATTGGATATTTTTTTAGTACCGTTCGTGGAGAGAAGGATTAGTCGTTTTCGGTGAATTAGGCGCGGCAGTCTCGAATGGTCAAGTTATTTTATTGAATGACGCAGAAGCGTCGAACGTGCATGCACATCTGAGAGATCTCGCGTCGACCACGCAAGCTTTGACCAGGCTATACTCTCTTTTCATCGGTAAGCAGTTGAATGATTTTATCCTTCGCGATTATTGCGCAAAAAGATAATATAATCCTCTATGTCAATAGGCGATCAAACGAATATCGATCAAAGTTTAGCCGAGGAAGTTGTGCTACAAACCCTGGAAGCGTGTATGTTTGCGAGAGATAATCAACTGTACAAAGCGGCGATCCAGCCAGCCGCTATCGTATTAGATCTCATAGAAGTGTAAGTTTCCAGCTGATTAGTTTATTTACATATGTTTTTAATAAAAACTACCATATAATATGCCACAACGACGATATATAGGTACTTGTTATGTAATTGATTTGCGCTATTAGACATTCACAGCTTTTGGCTTCTCTTCAAGCGTGGTGCCATTGGATAGCCAGAAGACTGGAGAAGGTTAAGGAAACGCTCTGTCAGCGTTGCATCGATTCGTGTATCTGGGCGACGACGTACACCGCGTCCTGCGACCATGCGCCTCCTTCGAATCTCATTCACTCTGCCATTCACCTCTTCCAAAGTATCACCGCCATTTTGAAGCCCATCTTATGGGACCAACCGACTTTCCGGAATCTAATTTCCATGGGGACGTATCCGTATTTGAAGTCAGATACGATTAAAGTTCTACGTAGGGCATTGATAAATGGAATAATATTACCACCTGGTGATGCGGTAATAAGGCAACGGTTGTTGGGTAAGCCATTATTTCGCAAAACCTTTGCAACTGCTCTATTTATATAAACCATCCTTTTCTTTAATGAATGTAAAAATATAAAAATCGTAAACTTTTTGTGTCTAGGTACTATGATATTAGCTGTGTCAGCACCTCTGGGTCTGCAAGGACAACCAGTGCCTTCAGAGTCGACAATTTCGATTACGATAATGCCACTAACTCAGCTGCTAGAAGATTGCGCGTCATCGTCTACGACTATAAAGAAGATGTTGCACTCGTGTCTAGAATTAATCATAAACAGGACATTAGAATTATTGTCTTGTGTGATAAGGTGCCAGAGCATATGCGAATTACTACTTAGCTTTCTACACTCGGCATTTTCAGTATTACAACAACAACTGGGCCCTGAATTTATGCAGAGCGCAGTTCAAGGCATGCTCCAACTTTATACCAGGTTTGTATAAAATATTATGATGTAGAGGCAAAATCATTTAAATCTCAAAGTATAAATAGTATTATAGACCATTAACCAAATAACAAAATATGTTCGTTATTTTTTTTTATTTTGCTAAATAATTTTACTTAATAAATTTTTTATTTTCACTTATTAATTTTCACTTATTAAATTTTGATTAACATCAAATGAAAAATTTCTATACTTTGTTATATATTCTTAACAATGAAAAAATTATATTACGTATTAAGAATTAAAATGTTATGATTTTAACAAAATATCAATTGTCATCTCATTTATAGGGAAAATATTTCTGCTGGTCCTGCGTTGGATCAGTTACTGGAAATTTTGATACTCGTCGTATCAGCACCCAGCAATGCATTTAAAGCATTTGTTCCTTCGGTAACGAGTCTGTGTTTGGGTCAAGTATGGCCTGCCGTTGGAAGCAACTTGAGCGCTCATCCGGATACGACGTTAGTCTTATTGAAACTTTTTCACAGGTAATACATTGGTAGCACCACAATCTAATTTTTATTTAAAAATCATAATCCTTGTATAACTTTTCAGTATTCTTATACATCGATGGCAGTATTTCTATAATACCTCGATATTGCGGACTCTTGGACATCCCGAAGAAGACGAGCCTGTCGAGCACAAAGAAGAGTTGGTAGCAATTTTGGAGGCTTTCGGTCAAGCTCTACTTCAGTCAGATGTCAATATATTCCGACAGAGCTTGCAGAGCCTCGAACAGTTAAATATCAGATGGCGACTTTATCAACGGGCCGTATTTAAGGTTCATCTTCTCGAGAGATTTCTGATGGCGTTGTTCACAGTTCTATTTCAACAGTAAGTTTATCATCGATTATGATTATTTTTATTATTTTTATTAACTACGTACTTATGTTAATAATATTCATTTATGTGGTATTTAATTTTGACAGATCCCACAACTTGTTGGCAGATGAGATAGCCGCGGCTATTCACAGTCTAGCGTCTGTTAACATAGGATGGTTCTTTGGTCACTTTTTGCCAACGTTCTTGGCAACTTGTGAAGGCGTAGACGATATGCAGAGAGCCACCTTGTTGGGGAATTTTGATAAATCCACGGTACGTTTATCTTTGGGCGGTCCGTTAAAAGCATAAGCAGTACAATGGAATCACTTAAATGATTTAAAATATCTTTTTTTTTTTTAGGATCAACCCACTTTGACCAGATCAGTACTCCAGCTCATTTCAGATTTAAGATGTTACCAGCTGTGTAGACCGGGTTGAAGCGCGACTCGATAGAGTATTCACGACGAAATTATTCCACAAGACTTCTACAGTGGCATTTAAATGAAATCAACATTTCCACCGAATCTCTCCTACAGAGTGCCTCTAGATACAGATACGAGAGACATTAACCGTAATGAAACGAAAAAAGACAAAAACCTTTTGTAAAAATTTACCATTCTGTGTATACCACTGCCGCACCATCGTTTGTGATGTTGTAAATGTTATTATTGCGAATAAAACGCGTCTTTTTATATGTCCTAAAATCGCCTTTTTTATAAGGTAGAAAGATTTTCTGTTTATATTTATTGTTCCAAATTTTACTGAAATATTCTAATAAAATAGATAAAAGCACTACAAAGTGATATGCTTTATTACAAAGATTCGAGCAAATTGCTCGAGTAACTTATTATTAGTGTTGCGTTCAGATATCAGCGCTAAGATATCTTCGTGTTCTTATCGCCTTTCTTCTCTCCCTCTTTTTCTCTCGACAAACATGATAACCCAAGCTATTTATTAACTTGGCGCTCGACAGATCAGTCAGTCAATAACAAGCAACTAATAATGTCACGTTTGTTGTTGAAAAAAGGTGGTTGCTATATTTCTCAATTCCAAATGACGAGACATTTAGTGACCGATCCGAGGTACGGATTTTTAAAACAATTAGGTATCAACGTTGAAAATCCCGGTCTCTACGACGGGAGATGGGGTGGGTCTGGCAAGGTATGTGTTGATCTCGTCTTATCAAGATAGATAATGAGTTGGTACATTATGGAAGTCAGAAGTGATCTTAAAAAAATCACGTTATAGCACGATAAAATCAAATCATATATATACCACAAAATAAATAATTAAGTGCAATTAATCGAATTAATATTAAATACAGTTGGTAGAATCGATATCGCCGGCGACCGGCAAAGTGATAGCAAAGGTCCGCGAGTCCACGCCGCAAGAAGCTAGCAATGCAATAACAGAGGCACGTAAAGCGTGGCCGCAATGGGCATCTATCCCGATGCCAGCCAGGGGAGATATCGTACGGCAGATTGGGGACGAGCTCAGGAGAAATTTGGAGCCGTTGGGACGCTTAGTATCCTTGGAAATGGGTAACTTATCGTTTTAATGAGCGTTCAAATCACAATCGGAATGTCGATGGTAGATTTATAATTAACGCAGAGTGCATCATCATGCCGTAGGCAAGATATTACCGGAGGGCATAGGCGAGGTCCAGGAATTCATCGACATATGCGATTACGCGGTCGGCCTGTCGCGGACGTTACCCGGCAGCCTGTTCCCGTCGGAGAGGAGGAACCACGCGCTCTTGGAAAAGTGGAATCCCCTGGGTGTAGTCGGCGTCATCTCCGCATTCAATTTTCCCATAGCGGTGAATATATACCTTGAATTCCCAGAGAATCTTACGATCACTCCGCTTAAAAAAATGCTTGCAATTTACTGATTTATTGCGTATCAAGGTGTACGGCTGGAACAGCGCTATCGCTATGGTCTGCGGTAACACCATCGTCTGGAAAGAGGCGTCGAGCACACCTCTGACGGCCATCGCGACCACCAAGATAATCGTGAGCGTCCTGGAGCGCAACGGTATCCCAGGTTCCGTCGCATCCTTGATCACGGGCGGACCGGATGTCGGGGAGACACTGGTGAACGATAAACGGTCAGTTCTGATCTGGATATTACGTTATTATGTCGTACAGCGTATTGAACAGGCTGGTAACGATTGTCGTTAGGGTACCTCTCGTTTCGTTCACCGGAAGCACGAACGTAGGAAGGCAAGTGGCTCTCAAGATTCAGCAAAGATTCGGGAGATCTCTGCTGGAGCTGGGCGGTAACAACGCATTAATCGGTGCGTGTCTCCTTAAAATATCAATTCTATATTATTGCCACGGACAACGCATTCGTAATCGTTTCTGTTGTCAATAGTCGCACAGGATGCCGATTTAGAAATGGCAGTGAGAGCAGCGGTCTTCTCGTGCGTCGGGACAGCTGGACAAAGATGTACCACCACCAGAAGATTAATATTGCACAAGAAGATAAAGGACGAATTTCTAGGTGAGCGCAAAATATAAAACGAGAAAATATTTCAAGTCGTCATTACATGAAAATTTTTAGGGAGATTGAAAACGGCATACAAGAGCATACTGGAACGAGTCGGAGACCCATTGGATGACGGTGTACTGTACGGACCGTTGCACAATCAGTCAGCGGTCGATGCATATAAGGTATCGGCTCAAATTTTCATTTAAACAAGATAAAACAAGATCGATCGAAAATTTCATCCGCTCCTTTTAGCATGTACGGGAGGAAAGACTTTTCGATTAATCCAATACTTTTTTTTTACTGCAGGCAGCAATTCAGAAAGCTGTAGACGCCGGTGGCACGATAGAATTCGGTGGAAAGCAAATAGAGCGACCCGGTTTCTACGTCGAGCCGACGATCGTCTCGGGTTTACCGGCCAAAGCTGAGGTGGTGCAACAAGAAACTTTCGCCCCGATCGTTTACATCTTGGAGGTGAACTCTCTGGAGGAGGCCATCGATTTCAACAACGGCGTCGAGCAAGGCCTGAGCAGTAGTCTCTTTACCAAAAGTATTGGAAATGTATTTCAGGTAAATGTGTAACAATTTCTTGTTAGTAAATTAATTGTAGTACCACGTGTAAATTAATCTTTACGATCGAGTTGATATTCGAGTTAACTTATCGAATATTGAATTCACGTCACGCGCAGTGGATCGGCCCTCACGGATCGGATTGCGGAATAGTCAACGTCAACATCGGCACCAGCGGCGCCGAGATAGGCGGCGCGTTTGGCGGCGAGAAGGCCACGGGCGGGGGCCGCGAGAGCGGGAGCGACGCGTGGAAACATTACATGCGGCGCGCCACCATCACGATCAATTACGGAAACGAGCTGCCGCTGGCTCAGGGCATCAAGTTCGAATAAATTGCGAACAGGAGTGGTCTTTCTTCGCAGATAAATCAACGCTTTAATTCAAACCGTATAAAATCCACCTGAATGTCGACGGACGCCTTTTTGTGGAATTTGTAAGCCCTCGGCAGGTCGTATCTGAGCTCGGCTATCACCGTTCCTCGCGCGCCGAGCTGCGCCGCCCTCGACAGCACGTAGTCCCGCGTGCTGCTCTTGTGCAGAGAGTAAACGGCGCTGGACGAAAGCCTGATCGCCACTTCCAGAAACCTCATGTCGATGCCGGCATTGTTCTTGGTGCCGAAGGGTGGATTCATTATAACAGTATCAAAGTACTTTTCGAACTTTCCTGTAATGTGAAACGCACGCTACAAATTTGTACTTGTAAAATAAATAATGCTACATGATATTTACACGCGTATATAGATACCCGGTAAATATTGCAGTACGTCGCACTGCACGACTTCGACGAAGAGCTCGATGTCGCTGCAATTTCTATAGTGTATGCCAGTCGCGTCGGAATCTATCTCGAATCCAACTACATACTCGGCGCCAAGCATCTTGGCGCCCAGCGACAACGTGCCACATCCGGAGCCTAGATCCGCCACGGTTTTACCCTTTATATCGTCAAACTGCGACTGCGCGGTGTACAACAGTTGCGAGGCGATATGTGCACTGGTGGCATATTGCTCGAGCGAGACTTTCGGCTTTTCGAACACGTCCAGCTGCTGGAGATATTCCTCTAATTGACGAAGTCGAAGTCCAGCCATTATATCTACTTGAGGACTGTGATTTCTTCACAGATTCTTATCGCAACAAACACTTAATAAAAGACGATCTAATTCCTCGACGAATGTCGATTCTCGTTAACGTTATTATTGGCATATAGTCTTTAGTAACATTCAATTGTCAATACGCATCTATACACGCTCGGAGGAGAGGCGACTCATTTATTGTCGAATCTAGGGAGGACCGGTAGTATCAGATTTCCAAAGGACGAGTCCTGCGTGACGAAATAACCGAACGAAGCCGCGTGTGCATTGTGCAATGCTGCTCTCTGGGAGGCGCTCATTGCCACGCCATCGTTAGATTGTGTGGCCTGCAAAAAATAATATGTCATCAATATAATAAAGCAAAAGGAGAATACTCCCTTAACTCTCGACCACGGAGTGCACTTACTATATTTGACGCAGAACCAGTTGACGCGACTCCTAACGACGTGTTCAAGGTTGGTGCGACTCCCTGCTTCAGAAGCATCTGTTTCTTCAGTTGCAGCTCCTCCAAGATCTTTCTATTCTGCAATTCTACGAATAAGCAAAGTGGGGAAGTGTGAAAAATAATACGAAATAAGAAGATATTACGCTCTCATTGGAATTACCTCTCGCGTTCGGTTGCGAAAAAGCCATCAAATTTATAATAAATAATTCAATACTATTCAAATCCGACGACTTCGACCGTGCGTTTTAGGTTATATTGTTATTTATTAAAACTCACTCAACTTTCCCGGGTGGCATGGACGAGAACAAAATTTTTCGCCACCTGTACGCGACCGGCGGAACTCAGTCATCAAATTTCCCGACGATCGTGACATTCAACTTGGATGAGTCTTCGAGGAATTCGTCGCCAAGAGGCGCCAGCGTCGTTCGCGAAAAACGGCCCGAGCCGAGCGAAACTCGAACGGACGGCGGCCGCGCATGCGTCGGAAGTGCGGAGACGCCACCTCGCGGGGGCCAGTCCGATCGCAGAAGTGATCCCGAGGTGTTCACCGAGAGTTGGCGGTCGTCCTCCGGTTTTCACGCGATAAATTCTCGTCGTCCGCTCCTCGACTCAGGCGATCTCCCACGGTTATTGCTGCTCCGCGAGACAGACGTGAGTATCCGTGCCCGGAGTTCTCGTTTTATGATTGCGTGCGGAAGGAAATCCCGGGGGCGCGGAATCTCGAGGGGGGGAGGGCGTCGAAAGCGGGGCCGGTGGCGAGAGAGAAGCGGTGGCGGCGGCGGCGGCGGCGGTGGCTGCGACGGCAGCGGTGGCCGTCACAGACGGGTGACGGGTTCTGGCAAAATGGCCGTGCGCGATCTACAACAAACGGTCATCCCCAAACGTATGTCGCGACGACGGCGTCGTTGGTGTTACACGTTCCGATACGTCGACACAAGAATCGTGTCGACATAGCCCCTATGTGTGTGTATGTGTGTGCTCGCGCGCGCGCGCGCACACCTGACGTCGACGTCAACGTCGGCATCGACGTCAGCGTTCCCGCGACGACGGTCCGAACAGGACCGTTGTCATCGTCACCGTCGCCGTCGTCGTCTCGGGGGGCGATTCCTCTCGGAGCGCGATTGTCGCGCGAGAGCAAAAAAAGAGAGCGAGAGAGCGTGCGGACCCCGCGTCGTCCGCGGACGGCGTATACGCGCGTCGCACGTCACCAGACGCGAATTGATTTTCTCCACGGGGAGAGACTGGCCTAGCGCCGCCGACCGTCGCATCGTCGACCGTGCGTCGCGGCGACAACCTCCACCGAGAGAGAGAGAGAGAGAGAAAGACGTTTGACGGTGGCACATCGCAGCATCCTTTTTTAATTCCGTGAACCGCGAGGCGCACGGGGTACGCGATACGACGACGCGCGAGCTACTTTGACAGACGGTTCCGATAATGCACGATCAGCTGTCATCGCACGACTCCTCTCTCTCTCTCTTCATCTGTCTCTCGCTCTTTTTTTTCTCTCTTTACCTGTCGATCGAGGACGCGCGGAGCGAACGAGACCTCGGACTCCATCATCGATCTCCGATATTTCGTCGTTTCCATCGCGCGAACTCTGTCTCTCTTTTTCTTTCTCTTCTAAAGGGATGTCGCGATCGAGCTGTCTACTCCTGGTTCGCAGCATCCCGCGTGCATCAGAGATTCGCGTGTTACAGATCAGCGGCGACGGCGTTTCCTCGGGCTATCCCGTCAGTTTCCCCCGAGTTCCTCACGACCTTGAGGCGGCCTACCATTAGCGTAATCGGAGCCTCCTGATTCCGCGGACGACCGATATCTACGGCGAAGCCGGTCATCGCCTCCTTTCGGATCTACGGCGATTCCTAGTCGCGTACTCCTTTCCCTCCCCGCGGCGCCGTCCGTAGCGTCAATCGTATGTAGGTTTTTTGTCGTTACGTTTAAATTGCATATCTCATTTGGCGTTGGGAGTGACACAGGCGCACGTCAACTTTCTAGGTGTCGTCACTCCCTCGCGCGATCAATTTTTCTCTTATATATAGAAATCCGTACACCATTGTCGGGTGGCAAAAATATCCGCCCGACGCCCGGATTCGAGGATCCGCCCGAACAGGTGCGATCGTGCAGAACGATGCGATTGTCCGGATGTGATTTGTTCGGCTGTTCCCTTCGCAGCTTCTCGCTTCCGCGAGTTGGCCCGCGACTGCGCCCAGAGAGGTGTTTCGGCCCTGCCTAATTGCGCGACACGCGGATGAGAGAATTCCCGTCCCACCGTCAGATTCTTGACAAACGAGTCGCGTCGTGACGATTAAAATCACGATCGACTCGCGGATAGGAGATTCGACGGCGCAGATATCGAATTTTGCGCGTTAATTAGCTGCGCGCGAGTCTCGAGATTAGAAGCTCTCTAAATCACGGGAGATGAGAAAAATGTGATCTCTCTCTCTCTCTCTCTTATTCTTTTCCTCCTCTTTCTTTCTCGAATTTGTTGTTTTAACTCATCCGAGCGATCGGCAATAGCTTTCTAACGCATTAAATGATCGCGAAGTGGACCGCCGTCAGTTTTATCGGTAAATCACAGACGACAACAGGCTCCGCGTAATTGAGTTTTGTAACGAGTTTTTGTAGTTAGGTAGCATCTCTCGAGGCTCTGCCGGAGGCTTGAAGACCATATTTCAGATAGATCATTTCTCCTGTCGACAGGCGGCCCCGACAACCGGTCGGCGATTCCCATTCCCTGCGCATAGTCGATTCCGACATTTAATATGCGAGTCGATTAAGCGAGGGAGATGCCGAGGGACCGCAGGTAGATATCGGAGCGCGAGGTCAGGAAAGTCGGCAGTCACTCACTTGGACCGATGATCCCGGAAACGTAACTGTAATTCAGCGAAACGAGCCAGCGAAAGATCGATCGCCGTATACGACTCGGTACCTACGTACAGGAGAGAAAGAGCGATATTGGATCTTGATAAGAGTTTACGACACACACCGCCTCGTGGATTAGCTCGGTCTTATTGTATCGAGATCTTTATTGAACGCAGTGACGGACGTTTGCACAAAGCTAGAAGGGAAGCCTGCGATATGAATTATTGCTGCAGACTCACGTGCGGGACATTGGCGAGAGATCCAGTAGTTGTCAAAATTGAAAAAAAAGCAAGACGTCTTTATTGCTTAGCGAACTAATGGCCCAACGCTGCTCTAAGTGCGAACGCCTTCCTCGGTCTAGATTCGTAAATCACGTCACGTTGACGCACGAATTCGTGCTGTCCGCGGGAAGCATTTTCGACGCAGGGAAATGACGGTTTCACATAGATCTCTTATTTTTAGACTCCAGGAGGGCCTTGACCGCCTGTAGGGTTGAACGGGCGAAGCCCTGAAAGAGGAATTTCCCGCTTCTCAGCGCCGCGGTAACACGCATTACCGCGAGCGCCGCGCTCGCAGCAAGGACATCGTAAATTATGTATATCCTCCGCTTACGCGGTACTTTCAACTCTTCGCGCCGAGCCGCGGCCGTGTGCATTTACGCGCGGCGGCCAAGATCCAGTTTCCCGCGAGCCCCGAGTATCTGTGCGCTCGACGGCGATATCCCGGTATCGCTCCATTCATATTCCGAGCGTGTGTCGCCGACGCGAGAGATACGTACATTCTTACGTTTATTACTCTTTTCGCCACGCGCGCATATATTCTCCCTATTCTGTTATTTTCTTCTGCCTCTCCTCGCAGCGCCTCGTTATTCATTATGCATGTTTTATCGATAGGTGGACCCGTTTCGTTCGCGCGCCGTCCGGTGACCTTCCTTCGCAAAGTACCCCAATCATGCACGTCGCGGGCTTTTTAACGACGTTACGGGCGGCGTTACGAGGTGGAAAGAGGCCGTTATGAATATTTAAATGCACCGCAAAGGCGAAAATATACGCGGCTGCCATGCAGGGTGGGCGTGCTGTGTGCCGTGCTGGTTTATCGATCACGGCGCATCGCGGCGATAAGCATCGCGCGTCGTGGAAGCGTCGCGACGACGCTGCGCCGACGCTGCGCCGCGCGCCTTTACGACTGTCAAGGTCCTTCCTCCTGATCGTTTCCCTCGTTTGGACTCACGATTCCGATTTACGTACCACTGGCTCTGCTTTGCGCTCTGGTATTTAAAAAGGCAACCGGTATTTAAAAAAAAAAAATTATGATTTATTACTGCATCAATTAGCAATGCAGGAAAATTGAGTCATATAGAGTCAATACTCTATAAATACTCTGTTATATCATACTACCTGGCCCTGTCTCGATTATTTTTATATATTGTCAAATGATACGTGTGCAAATGTTTTCGTTACCTTGAATAATTTTCGTACGAGGAAGATATTATATCTCGTGTATAAATTACTTCTGTTTTTTTTCCCCCAAATCGATCAAATTACGCACGCACAGCTTTCTCTCCCTGCATATCGATTTTCGTTTCGCAACTTGGCGAGGAAATTGCGTATTTAATTTTCCACGTTTGCACGCGAGAGGCGGTAATGATCGGCCGTATAGTAATCGACGTTGATTTAACGTATAGGCACGTATATGAAGCGTATGTCGCTTTTCCGCGACGTTTGAGACTCGCCTCAAATTGTCGACGCCTCCGGTTCCAGGTAAAACGTGACCGCGTACCCGCAACCGTTCATTACCGCCACGTCAGTGCGCGTCGTGATTTTTCGAGCTTCACTTTTCAAGCCGCCTTTCGCTTTCGTGCGACGCGCGGTGAAAAGTGCTATCGATCCGGCGAAATCGCCGTCTGTGCCGCCCAAGCTGCCTCGCTGCAAAAACGGCCGCCTTCGAACGCGGCGCGCCGCGACGAAAGCTCGCAAAAGTGGTTCCCGCGCGGCGAGAGCGAGCGACGCTGATTCCGCGAGCGAACGAGCGCGCGCGGTCTGCATCGGGTTTCTCTCCCGCGACGATGGAAAGTAAAATAAACCACGACATTGATTTCAGGCGTATTGTGTGCGCGCGCGTTATATTATCCCGCGGAAACAATTCGGTACGGTCGGCTCTCACGAACGGCTCGCCTCGCTACCGGCTTAATTTTCTTTCACCGCGATGGAAAAATATGACTGCTGCTAATGCGACGACGACGTGTTGAAGCGAATAAAAAATTCTCACTTCTCCGAAGTAATTTTATATGCAAAGGAGGAGAATATTAATGTCTGCGAAGTATCATATGACCTGTCGAACTATCTGTTGACAAATCGAATGAGGCTACAAGGCAATTTTAGCAAAAATTTTTCTCTTTCTCGAATAAAATCATTTCAAGGAAAACGAGATATATATATATTTTTTTTGACATAACTGATTGTAAATTATTACATTTTTATTCGAGTTTTAACGCACGCTCTATAGAATATATATATATAAAAGTAAATTAAGATATGTACTTAAGTGTGTAATTTTTTATTACAGGCAATACCGATGGCGGGGCACTGAGATCATTGAGAGGTGACTGGAAGATCTAGTCGCGCTCCATCCGAAATCACCATCGAGGTATACAGCCAGGTCACACACGAGGATCATGAAAATGGTGCTGTCTCAACGTCAGAGGGAGGAGTTGTAAGTTGACTCCACCGTACGTCGTAAAATGCTTTTCGCGGTACTCCGGTTTGCATGTTTTCGATCACGACGTTTATACGCTTAATAATGGCTTCCTTCAATCTCTACCCTAGCTCGGCTACAAACATTACTGTCTCTTTCCGAGTTGTAGGGGTTGATACACGCGAACGCTCGTATAGCCCGGGAACGGATCAATCGAGGAAATACGCAAGGTTTCCCTCTCGTATCTCGCACCACCTATATACGCTCTAAAGTTCCCTCTTCCAATAATAGTCCCCTTTTCTTTATATTCTCTATAAGAAATAAGGTATAAGTTCGTGAAAAATCTTCATAAATGCGTCCCTAGAATATCAGGTAGCTGCTAAAGTCTACTAAAGAATGCTAAAGAGTCTTAAATTTTTTTATTTATTTATTGCCTTTTTATTGACTTTTATTTTTATTAAGAAAATGAAATACGTTTTAGGTATATCGTTGCAATGTGGCAATCCTTTGAGCCACCTTGGCATCGTTAATTGGCATTGGAGCCTTAATGGGCTAACCATGTAATTGGTTCATTATATTTTGCATAATCGTGGGCGCGTGAAGGTGTGAGAGTCGCTCTTGAATTTTCTCATGCCTTCGAGCCTTCGATTTCACATAGAGAAGCTGGAAAGGCCCCGGCGTAGATGAGTCACACTCGCAGGCAAATAACGATCTTGCCGAGAGTCGAGAGTTCTTCAGCTGTCGTGCATATACGCTCCGTGTTGTGACTGTGTTTCCTGTTCGAGCGCTGTCGCGCGTACGCACGCGGGAGAATCGAACCTCGCTAATCGTCGCCATTATCTCGCCACGTCCCAATTCGTGCTTCTTATCTTTCAAACGGAACGCGTGTTTTTGCGTCACCTCTCGGTTCATTTCTCCTCCCGTCTCCAATGTCCCACGACGATATTTAAGGCAATCACGAATCTCGCTTTCCTTCCGGTATAGGACTTTAGATCTTGAAGAATCATGTGTTCGAAATATGTTTGTAATAAGCAAACATATGCTTTGCTCCAGATATATCTGAATTAGAAAGATATCTTTAGATCATGCAAATATATTTTTGAATATATTTGTTAGAATTCCTTGATGTCTAGATTTTTTCTTTCCTTTTTTTTTTCACGTCTTAAGTATTGGAATTTCCGTGAAAACCTCGTTCGGATTGAACGAGGATTCAGACTGTACTCTTTGAATTATTTAAGTAAACTGTTTATAATTAATTCGTCGGTTTCGTTTCGCTCTCCTCCTCGTGCGAGCGTCCGGCGCGCGACACGGCAACGCGACGCTCAAACGGGGACACCGCCGGGCATCGATCGTATCCTCGATCTATGCCGAGCAATTCCTATGACGCAAAATCGCTCGTCGATCGGTCGGGTCTTGGAGGGAAGGGGGTGAGCAGGAGGGTGGACGGGGCGGGGGAATAGCGGAGGCGGCGGTCAGGGTGGTGAGGGTGTCTGTCGAGCACGCGCGAACTGCGGGATCGATAGCTCGCGCAGAATGAGTCGGCGACGGCGGAACCCTCGGAATGAGGCGAGGAAGGGGATGAGAGCTCCGTTTCTCCGTCTGAGGGAGAGGGCTCTCATCGATTTAGCGCAGGTGTACCTTCGCGCCATCCATGTTGTTTCCCTTCTAAGAACGCCTTCCCCGGCCCTCAGGTTCTCACCTACGTGTAATTCTTAGCAAGTGGACGGCGGAACGATCCCTCCGGCGTGCGACTTTCACTTCCGGGCTTCCCGTAAACCGATACGGAGGGTTGAATGAAAGGGCGATTGAGCATTTTTAATAGGGGAACTGCCGTCGGAGTTACCTGCGGTCTCACCCATCGGGGTAGTCGATATATTCTAATAAATATAAATTGACTCTTCGACCTTTAAATAGAAATAGGTCTCACAGAACTCTTTGAGTGTCTCAATTTTACAATTTGTTTTTTCAATATCTATACCATTTTTTGCGAATATATTGTTTTCTTAAATTATATGAATTAAAAAATATGTATATATTGTATATATCATAATATATACACAAATATTTCTCTGAGAATTAATTACGCAAAGTATCTGCTTGTTCGTATCGAGATTGTTACAAAAGGATTATAAAATCTCTAGGGGGCTGAAGTAAATCTACGAGTAATAAGTAATTTAATATTTTTAACACATTTGCGAAATGAAATCTGATCGTGTAATATAATACCATGCAGTTGCAGATGAGGATGGTCAATTCGACGTAGATGCTTGCTTACTCGTGGAATTTAAACGCTATAGTTAACAGCGGGACGATTTCACGCTGATGTCAGCGTCCGTTTCATACGGCTAAGGGCCGGAATGAATTACTCTCCGCTTCCTCCGTATCCATATTCACCTTTACACCGGTGGAGCCGAGGATGGAAGAGCGCCTCAGGATATCGCTCTTCGATCTGCACCTCAATCTGCATTCCTGCGGCGAGCCGAAACACAACACGTCTCGCACAATTCATCGTGCACTCGCACTCGGAGCCGCGCGGAGCGAAAGAGGCGAGGGGGAGGAAGGAATTTCGCGAGGCTCTAAAGTTCTATTGTACCGTTACCGCTCGCCGCGGTCTATCCTTCCGATCTTTGTTATATGGAGAGTATATGATGCACCTCTCTCGAAACGCGCCGTGTCGTATCGCTGGTAGCGATCTCCTATAGCCTCTTCCCTCGAACTCTATCTTTAATTTATGAAGACGATGGAGGAGAGATGATCTCTCTCGGAGTGCGGCGAAGTTTAATTTCGATGGCCGCAGGTGTTTTCTCGCATTCGTTATGCTCGTTCCACGTACACACGCGGGGCGCAAACGACGTGCCTGTCAGCATCCAATTTCCGGAAAACGTTTTATTTGTCGTTCCTAATGCTTTAAGGACGCTCATCTGCGCTCGCGCGAATATTTCTTTTTCCATGCGCTGCGAGCGAGCGAGCGTCATGTCCTAGAATGCTCCGTCAACGAGCGACATAAGTGCACTCTCATTCCTCCGCGCGGCTATAAGAACTCGCGCGATAGGACATCACGCGAATGGACCGTGTTGCGACTTGATGACCGTGTATCCCCGTGCGATCGAAGGAGAATAAACGCAAAAGGACTAGAACGAACGTGTCCCTCTTTCTCTTTCTCTCTCTCTTCCGTGATGCTTCCATAATAATGCCATTTGCAGATATCAGATGTCGAGAGTAAATATATCCCGAGCGATGAATATTCTCCGGAGCGAGATTGTTCCCCGGGAATAAATTAAAACGCCGATCCTCGCCGACGCGGCGTTCGTCGACGATGAATTTCGAATGCCACGGCTTTCGCATGGTTGCCCATCTGCGTACGGCGTCCCCCTGGGGCACGCACTACGGAACAACGTGCGCGCCGTTACAACGCGCCTTCTCGTATTCATAGAATATCTTTTTTTTTTCCTCTCTTTCTCTCCTTCTCCCTCTTAGGTGCGTGACCCATTGCCACGAGAGCATGCCGTCCTACCTGCGCTGCGTTTTCCCGTGCTCTCGCACGGACCCGCGCGGGTGTCGAATGACGAGTCGCCTTCCGCACTCACATATATATAAATACAATGATCTCGACCTGACTTGAAACATTCTTTTCCACTTTTGTAGCTGCAGTAGCGTTCACACACACACACACACGCACACACACATCTGCTGCCAGGTCCCTGCACGAGCAAATATAGAACTTCTCACACCGTTAAGTGCCCTTATGAATTTACCTCTGTCATTATCCACGTTAGCCTTTTTTTTTATCTTCCGCGAATTAGCGCGTAATTAGCTACCCGTGTGGATCCCGTAAGCCCACCGCAACCGTAGAAGCTCACCTTACGCTCCAAGTTGATTGTACACCGACTGCAATTAGCAGCGAATAAATCTCACGAGCTGCGAATGAATTTCTTTTTTCTTTGAGAGATTATTGATATATCTTGATTCTCTCTTTTTTAAAATAAAGATTGCCATCCCGAGGATTATTATCGTTCTCGGAGCTTCCAGCCATCGGCTGAACTATTGGGATTCGTGTTACATGAATTTATACGCTAGCTTATATTATCATTCGTACAAACAAACTTTCAATTTGCCTTGATATCAGGCCGACGATAAGCCGGACCGGTTTTTTTTTTTTTTTTTTTTTTTTTACACGAACTTAAGTGTCTCTACAAGCGGTACTACGCCGCATTCAAATTACACGTTATTATAAAGTCAAATTTTTCTTCGTCGTTATTCGCTAAGATAAAATTTTATGCATATTATGCATATATATATATATATGTTTGCCTTTACAATGTTTATTTCCACATGCGGTATATACACACACATACACGCGCGGAACTATATCAGTGAGTCATTTTTATTATCTGCGTGCTTTGTTTCTGCGCTCGGCCAATCTTGAATCATGCTGTAAAATCCGAATACGTTTTCCATTCATTAAAACGAACGTCGAATTCGAGTGTACGACGTTACGTCGGCGGGGAACAAATAGCGGAAGTATCCAGCACGCGGTGGTGTCAGCTTTCTGCCAGGACAAAATGGCTTTGTTGTTTTCTTCCCTCTTTTCTTTCGGTTACATCGTTCGAGTCGCTCCTACGCGTCACGCGTTAGTCGTAAAACCAAAGATCGTGAGGCGCACCGCGAGCAATAATTTGCCATCACGTGGAGTAGTCAGGTGAATAGAGACGAACGGCCGCGCGACTCTCGAGGCCTTTCACCCTGGCACAAGTTTGCCCGACTTTCAATCTCTTTCCCACGTATCCAACCTGCCTTACGGCCTCCTCCTTCCCCGTCTATTGTGTCGGATCGCAAGGTACGGTATTTTATCTTTATCTCCGCGTCATAAACACAGGCGGCTGTGGTCGACGCCAACGCGGAACAATCGGCGATTAAAGGCTATCACCTAACGCGCACACGTCTTCTCGCTCCTATCCTCTCCTTATCCTAGCCCGGCTGCGATACGCCTGCGAGAAAGCGTACGGACACACGCGCAAACGAAGCAAGCTCGAAGACAAATTAACGTTTAAAATTTTCTCGAATATTATTCACGCGGCGTTAATAAATAAGGAAGTAGAGGATAGCATTTTTTCCTGATGAGTTTCCGCGTTTATTATAAAAAAAAACGAATCGATGCTTCCAGAAATAAGGCGATCGCGGATTACCTTAGCACGAACGGCTACCAAGATGCACTGGAGGCATTCAAGAAAGAAGCCGATATGCCGGGAGAGGTGGAGAGGAAGTACGGTGGCCTCCTGGAGAAGAAGTGGACTTCGGTCATACGGTTGCAGAAGAAGGTATAAAGTCCCTCCCTTTTTTTTCAATTCGATGGAGATATTTCCTCTCGATTCTATCGATGTTGCGCGCACAGAATTCATCGGTATATTACATCAGCTAAGTGGCTGTTTGTACTCGCACTCGCGTACAATAATGTGTAATGTGTCGTGTAGGTAATGGAACTGGAGTCTAAACTCTCCGAGGCGGAGAAGGAGTTCATCGAGGGCGCGCCGACGCGCGGCAAGAGATCGCCGTCCGAGTGGATACCGAGGCCGCCGGAAAAGTTCAGTCTGTCCGGACACAGAGCCCCTATCAATAGAGTTATTTTCCACCCGGTTTTTAGTCTTGTAGTATCCGCCAGCGAAGATGCTACCATTAAGGTGAGAAACGGACAAATGGACCGATCTCTGCAAATAGACCAACGGCGCCTTTGCTCGCTGACTCGCCGCGAGTATCAAACTGAAAAACACGGTTTCACGTATCTCTGTCCTTTCCCAAGGTATGGGACTTTGAAAGCGGCGACTTCGAGAGAACGCTCAAGGGCCACACCGACAGCGTGCAGGACATCGCGTTCGACGCCTCGGGCAAGCTGCTCGCCTCCTGCAGCGCGGACATGTCCATCAAGCTGTGGGATTTCCACCAGTCGTTCGCTTGCGTCAAGACCATGCACGGCCACGACCACAACGTCAACTCGGTCGCGTTTATGCCGCAGGGTGACTTCGTGGTGAGCGCCTCCAGGGATAAGACCATCAAGATCTGGGAAGTGGCGACGGGCTACTGCGTGAAGACGCTCACGGGGCACAGGGAGTGGGTGAGAATGGCGCGAATCAGCCCGTGCGGCGAGCTCATCGCCAGCTGCTCGAACGATCAGACCGTTCGGGTGTGGCACGTCGCGACGAAGGAGACGAAGGTAATGGCGCTCACCTCTCTCTCGTTCCTCCCAAGGTCAATCCAAATTACTCGTTCATTCGTAACGTTCAATGTCACTTCGGGATCGCCAGGTCGAGTTCAGGGAACACGAGCACGTGGTGGAGTGCATCGCATGGGCGCCGGAAAACGCGAGGGCGTCGATCAACGCGGCGGCCGGGGCGGACAACAAGGGCGCGCACGAAGGGCCCTTCCTCGCGTCCGGCTCGCGGGACAAGATGATCCGCGTGTGGGACGTCGGCGCCGGGGTGTGCCTCTTCACCCTCATCGGCCACGACAACTGGGTGCGATGCATCGTCTTCCATCCTGGCGGCAAGTTTATCGTCAGCGCGTCCGACGATAAGACGCTGCGAGTCTGGGACACGCGCAATAAGCGAGTGATGAAGACCCTCGAGGCGCACCTTCACTTCTGCACTTCTGTCGGTTCGTACCTCTTCTGTTCCACTTCTCTTCTGAATCGATGCGACATTTCTCTGATTTCATTGAACTGATATCAAACGCGGATTTGTCAGTTCATTTGTATGCTCGATTTGACTGCAGATTTCCACAAGAACCATCCTTACGTGGTCACCGGGAGCGTCGATCAAACGGTGAAGATTTGGGAGTGCCGCTAGTCACCGAATTTTAGATTTTCCGTCAGACGTCGTGTGCGCAAGCGAACGGAAGTATAAAAACGAGAGAAAAGACGAACGCGCATCCATTTTCATGGAATCGGCCGAAAGAGTAAGCTGCTATACAAAAAAAAAGCTATCGTACATATGCTATTAATATTAATATTATTATTATTATACATAAACACACATAAAACACGTATGGTTAAGAGCTCTTTAATTAATTTATAAAAATAAAGTATAATTAGTAATTATATTATATAAAATACATCGTTTTACGGCAATGAACTGCACTATTCGAGGAGAGTGAGAATCGAGAAACGGTCACGAGAGGATCAAACGATCGAGAGGACGCTCCCACGAGTTCTCATTTTACGGATCACCTGCGGGACGTGGGGTCACTAATGCCATATACAATTACAAGAGTTATATTCCTTTTAGGCAGTTGTGCAATTGTAGTAGGCATTATTCTGTACATATATAACCGTGTGTCTTTACTCGCAGCGCGAAATTCGACGTTCGTTGATGAGTAATAAACTCGCGCCTTTGATTTTGCTCTTACTCTCTTACGCCTGCTTATGCAATGTATCCGTTAAAGTATTAGTTACCAGCTGGTCGTACAGTACACACGTACAATACACGTGCGCGCGCGCGCGCGCAAAGAGAGAAGAAGATCGTCCTCCTCGATTATGACCTTGCGTATAAGAAATGCGTCGAATCTCTTTTTAACTTTCTGTCGGCAGTAGCGAAAATTTCGGCTGTGGCGTCACCTCCGCGCAACTACGATGATAACTAATTCGTTGTCACTTATATATCCACGCGCTCTCCTCGAGAGTTCTTGAGAGAACGGAAGATGTTGCTCCTTCTATACTCGTATATATATAAATATATATAAGCATATATACACGCAGTATACACACACACACACACACACACACATACACACACACATGTATAGACGCGCAGTGTCTTTGTACTATACAAAGTATCAAGTGTTAATGATCGTCTAATATCGGCTCACGTGTGTCCTGAGTTGTTATCACATTTGCCGCATTAATAAACATCTGTTTTTTTAGGGGGGGAACACTTAACGTAACGTCGCAAGTAATGTAAATCGAAAATGGCATAAACAAAACGTAGTAACGCAAAGACTGCCTCAATCGCAAACGAATATTGTTACACGTCTGCGTGCGTAGATCGGATTCTCTCGAAACGGCGTGTCCCTCTCGGAATTTCATTGGATTTACATACGTTTATGTATAATCGAATCTCACGGAGATCAAAAGATGTCAACCGAAATTGATCCGTGGATTAACGTGTAATGTGCGGCGCTTGAAATATTTTATTTATTTCTGAGTAAGGCATCGATTGAGAATCAGGGAGTCGCTGGACGGGATTTAACGAACGCCCGGAATTTGTGGAACGATAGAGAAGATGACGGTTTTGCTCGCCACTCGCTTGATCGTTACAACGCCACGGCGTTCCACCATGCATTACTAATAACCGATGTTACAAACAATGGACAGCCGAATCGGGAGAATGCGACGACTGAGATTTGAGCGTCCGAGCCGATGGGAGAGGAGACTCGTGAGGCGTAACGCGTGAAAGTTTTTAGATGCGCGTAGTTCATTGCGTGGGTTCCAAGAGAGAGAGAGAGAGAGAGAGAGAAGGTGGTACTAGTTGTATCTCTTAGTTCTAACTAGTATTAGCGATAGCGCAGACATTACGTAGCAATAGAAGGAAGATAAGGGAATAAACCTCGGAGGGAGAGAACACGAAGTTAACATTGATCGAAACACACACACATACACACAAATATATACACATACATATACATACAGGCGTATACACGAGGCAAAAGCGTCCGATGTTTCAGGCATTCGTTGAGAGAAAAAGGAAACATTCGCACCACATGTCTGAAATGTGTAATCCGCAAGAAAGAGAAAATCAGTAATCGATAAAAGCCGCTTAATTAAGGACGATTTTTTTTCCAACACGGTAGACTTAATTAACCGACTGCTACCTTCTCCTATTGTTTATTCAGCCGAGACAACAGGTCCACCACCCCCCTTATTCCGAAGAAGAGACAAACCCTCTCAATTAAATGTGGTACTAAATTATTTTGGTGAATAATAAACAGAGTTGTCACTGAGTCGTGAGATCGTTATATGCTGTACGAGTATCATCACACCTAATACATGCGATTCGTATCTGTTCTCCGAACGACATAATTTTTCATTTTCTATACCAGTTTTGCAGGTTTTTCCTCCGTTATTAAATGTCCATTGTTCCGAGTATGCGTCTAAAGACGGTTCCGTTGTGCCCGCTAGAATTTCCGTAGTTTCACAATCGGAGCGAGTAGGCTTTAGGATCCTCCCTCCCTCCTAACTCTGCAATACATATATTTAATTAACATGTGCATGACAGTATTTTATATAGTACAATAGGGAAAAGAGAGAATTAGCGAGACGTAGCATTGTATAAGCGAGAGACGCATACCAAAACACCCAAAACTGTTTGCGTGTTTATACGTAGATGATGTAATAAAAAGGAAAAAAGAGAAAAAAAATTGAGAAAAAAAAACACGAAAAAGTTATGTTGTAGCGTCGCCTGTCATACGACTCGTCACCGACTTGGCTTCTGTGACTCGCTTTCTACCTGCTTGGGAAAAAAAAATAATGATACCAACAAGTAGATTTACAATAAAGTATTCTTCGTCATTTGTGATACACCAGGATTGGCGAAACGTTTATTGTGATCCTGAAAATGCGCTGCACGAGCTTCTTGTAGGAAAAATATTCACTATAGTCTTACAGAGTGGAATTTTAGTGGCGGTAATAGTTGACTCCCTTTATTTTAAACAATTTTCACGCGGTCTTATTTTTATCAAAAACATAATTCAACAATTTCTGATCGAAGAACTTGTTATTTAAGAGATTTAATTATCTTAAATAACGCGAGATAAAAAGCTGTATTGAAGAAAGAACTAACACGAGTTCAATCGATCAAATGTTCAATTAATATTATTATTATCTTTTTAATGCGGGATTTATGATATATCTGAAACATCACACGTATTTAATTAATAATATAATAAAAAATTCGTCTCAAAAAATTGTCGGCAATGCAGATACGCGCGAATTACCACAGTCGGTAGTATCGTTCGCTCGTTTATCGACACCGTGGATCTACAAAGCGCGCGGAACCGCGGCATGCTTCGACACACGTGATCCAGTGCAATTCATTGTTTACGCGAGGGATTGTATCGTAGCGTTGGTTCGTCGAGAGTTTCCAGGTTATTACGCAGTACGCTTCATCTCTTCCGTTCGACGTAAAGTCGTTCGCGGTCGCTCGCAGGTTGTCCAAGGCTGTGCCAAGTAAATTTTCCCCGAGAAACGATCATTGTCGTGATCTCCAGGACGATCGACCTTTCGCGAATCGGCAAGCTCGCCGGGATGGGTTAGCCGCCATTCCTGTGGTTCCCTGTAGTTTTCGAACGCTCTCGTTTTAATCCTCGTGTCCACCTCACGACGAAATGGCATCACAGGAACAGATCCCCGCCAGTCTGCCCGACACCCAAAATGCGGATGGTATATTGACACAATCGCAGGAGACGTCAAGTCAGCAGCCGACGTTAATCACCTGGGGAAGGCTGTGCCCTGTGAGGGCATTCCTGCGAACTCTGGGTAAGAGCTCGCCCTTTGCGTCGGTAGAAATCCACGCTTGAAATACACCTCTTCAGAAATAATCTAAATCGTGCTTGAAACATTGAATTACAGACAAATATTTAATAGCAGATACTTGAATAGTAAAATTTTCTTGTGTTTGTCAAATTATTTCAGACATGATGAAGGACACCGGTTACACCGTGGGACGTTCGCCGACCTGCGACATTCATTTAACTGCAAATGAGATAGGTACGAAGTATCTGAATGTGATCAGTAAAGTCCACTTTCGCATATACAGGGAGTGCATTAGCAACTCGAACGAAATCGTGGTGTACCTGGAAGATCTAAGCCACAACGGGACTTATGTTGACCATTGCCTGGTCGGTCATGGAAAGCATGTTGTCATTGGAAATAATTCTGAAATAGCCTTGGCCAAGTGTCACTTCTTACGTAATTATTTTTATATAAAAACATTTTATATTAAAGCGTGACGTGAAATTACAGATACGATAGAAATTGATCTTTTAAATTGCAGTTTATGTATTCGTGAGCACAAATACGAACGAGACCGCTTGCGCGTTGCCGCTACAGCTGAAGTCGAGATACACGGTCGGCCGCAAGCTAGGTGCTGGTGCCTACGGCGAAGTGAGGCTGCTATTTGTGAAGGATGGCTCTAAACAGTTTGCCGTCAAAATTATACAGAAAAATTATTTTAGCGTTGGGAACGGGAATATTTTCAATAATCCGGTGAACGTCCAAAATGAGGTTGAAATATTGAGGAAGCTGAAGCATGTAAGTTCTGACGTACTTACGATCTCTCCCTCCCTTTCTCTCTCTCTCTCTCTCTCTCTCTCTCTCTCTCTCTCTCTCTCGTCACTGTAGTTTGAACACTAAAAAAAAAGTGGAATTATGGAATTTTGGATTTTTCTTTCAGCCCAATGTAATACATTTGGAGGATATCCACGACACGCCCGACGTCATGTACATTATTCTCGAATTAATGAAAGGTGGCGAGCTCTTTGATAGAATAAAGAACAACGGTAGACTGTCTGAGCCGTGTGCGAAACGGATTTTCTATCAAGTTGTACTCGCTGTCCATTATCTCCACAAGCAGGGCATTACGCACAGAGACCTGAAGGTACGATTTGAAACATTAGTCGAATGTTCTACGCGAATGTATCAGTATTAATATTTAATGAATGACAAATATTTACAGCTAGAGAATATACTGTTAAAGGACAATTCGGACTATCCTTTGGTCAAGGTATCAGATTTTGGCTTGTCCAAATTCGTAGATACCCAAACAATGATGAAGACATTCTGCGGGACTCCTATGTACGTTGCTCCCGAGATACTGAAAACCTGTGGACGCAGCTCGTATACGAATCAAGTGCGTATTTGTATATTCTTAAATAATAATTCTTTATTATGGAGATTTTTCATCCTCAGAATTGCATCACTAATAATCTTTGATTTTCATAAGCGATCTTGGTTTTGTTTATATTTTTTAAACTTGCTCCCGCGTTAAGATCTTAATGGGGCAATAGCTGTATGGAATACAGTGTTTTTCCACTTTAATATGCGGGGATGCAGGACCAGAAATCAAATCTGAATCTCTTTCTTGATAGACAACTGCTCTACTGAGCTATCCTGTGCCTCGAAATAATTAAAATCTAAAAGAATCACTTTTCTTTTTCAGGTTGATGTATGGAGCTTAGGAGTGATATTGTACATCTGTTTAAGTGGCAGAGTTCCTTTTTCAAATAATAGGAGTTTAGAGGAACAAATCATACGTGGACTCTATGAATTTCGGCCGGCGCATTTTCAAAATGTATCGCAGGATGCCATAAGGCTGGTAAGTAATAACGCCTGCAATTTATTAACTACGATTGACTTTGCAGTTTAACGGAATATTACGTTGTTCTAGAATAAATCAATGATGACGGTAGATCCGAGAAAACGTTTAACAGTGCCATATATCTTATTACACCCTTGGTTAAGAGACATGAATATGCGAAGAGAGGTCGACAGATTAATATCCGCTAATAATATAGTTGAGATGGAGAACGACGAGAATGTACCACCCGCCGAGAATGTGCACATCTACAAACGTCCCCGGTTTATTTGAAGAAAAAAAAAGGGAAAACATTTACATAACGTTAAGAATAGAGTGTAAAGAATATTTCTCATTTCGCGAGCAAAGAATGGAGGAATATCCAGTGTCCTCTCGACGAGATTTGGCATCTCGTTTATATATATTGTGATACATGCTATTACATAGATAATTTTCATTTAAAACACCAGTTTTCAACAGATTCGATTCAAACGTCGGAAAATTTATTAAGTTCATAAACTCAGTCTTGCACATATATATATAGATCTGATAGAGAGTACAAATATAAAGTACAACATAAAGTAGCTGTTCGTAATAACATTCATTCCGTTTAATTGCAATTGCAATTAAATATACTTTATGATTAACTCGGGTATTAAAAAAATCAGGAAATAGGTAAATAATTAGACCTGAATTCTGTGATAAGATACATGAAGTACTCCGCGTGATATATTTTTTTATTTTTTGACGTATCTCAATTTGACGAGTACAAGACTTGTGATTTAACTTACGACATAGAGTACTTGTATGCACAGAAAGCATTACGTTTTATGCATGATGCCCATGATGTATTATTTTATCCTTGTCGTTCACCAAATAAGAATGAAATGATACATCATGCGCATCGTAACGTAAAATGGAACGCCACCCAGAATAAGCAGTGCGCACTACAAAGGTTGTTGAGCGATATTAAGTGCGAATTTACTACCTCTAAGCTTTGATTAAAAAATTTAGGATGTTTCGGAGATATAGTGCTAATAAAAAGAGATTAAGACTGTCTTACGTTTAATGCCAAGTGTGCGTGAACAATATAAGCTTAATTTATCTTATACATTTAACTGTATTATTACGAGTTTATCACCTCTTACATGGTAACAAAATTGCTCTTGTGTTCAATTATACAGAGTTCTTTATTCAAAGTGATGGACACTATACAATAAAGAGGAACGTCTCGCGAACTATCGTTATTTTTTTTTTTTATTCCTTTCTGCTTAAATATTCCTCCTCGCTCTTGCAGGGATTCGGAAGTGCTGTGTCGAGGTCTGGTTTCTCTTTCTTCATAAGTCCGGCCAGCAAACGTTTTAGCTGCGCTATTGCTTTTCCCGGATTCAGGCCCTATTGGATACACGGCAATGCCGTGTGACGAGTAAAATTAAAATCTGAATATTTTATCTTTTTTAAAGGAATTAAAATCCTTTTTATATCGCAGGAGAGAAAGTGGATAACGTCGTTCAACACTCACCTTTGGACACGTCTTGGTGCAGTTGAAGATCGTGTGGCATCGATAAACCGAGTAGAAGTCCCGCAACTTCGCCAGCCTCTCGTCATGCGTCATGTCCCGCGAGTCTATCACCCACCTGTACGCCTGGCGATGCCAACGAACGGACATACACGTGTGAATAATGACGCACCTTCGTTTTCTGTTTGTCGTAGAAAAATCGTCGAACTCGTTTACCTGCAGTAGCACCGCGGGCCCCAGGTACTTGTCGCCGAGCCACCAGTAAGGAGGGCACGAGTACGTGCAGCATCCGCACATTACGCACTCGTACGAGCCGTCGAGTTTGCGCCTGTCCCTTGTGCTTTGCAAAATTTGCCGCATACCGAGAAATTCGTCCTCACCCGGTCGCTTTAGATACGGTTCGATTTTCTGGAACTGTCCAAGGAACTGTTCCATGTCCGGTATTAAGTCTCGAATCACGTACGCATGCGGTAGAGGATAGATCACCAGCGGCTGCGGAGATTCTTTCACCTTTCTGAAGATTTCGGGCAACGTTAAGCGCGATTTGAAAAGAGATTTATCTCGGAAGTAAGTTTTTTTATCCCGATGAGAAGGCTATGGAAAAGTGACTGCGAACGCGAATATATATGGCAAAATGTAAAATTAACGCGACCATTTCAAATTCCAGACATCCAGACCTCCAAGTATCCGAAGTATCCCGAACATCCGAAATATTAAAAATTATCCAGATATTCGAAATCCTAAACGTCCGGACCGAGCTGCCAAAGATACGTCAAAGTTTCCAAGAATTCAAATGTTCCTATCGCCTGATATTTTACCGACGTCAAAAATCGTATGGTAGAACGACGAGTTACGTTAGGCAAGACAGGGTGTTCACGCCGTTTATATTCATCCCGCAACTTCCGCAGATCCCCTCGCGGCAGGACCTCCGGAAGGACAACGTCGGATCGTGCTGCGCCTTGATTAATGTCAACACGTCCAGCACCATCGTGCCGCACTTGTTCAGATCCACGCTGAACTGCTGCATGTACGGCTTCACGTTCGGCGTTTCCGGATTCCATCGATACACGCGTACAGTTTGTATTCTCGGCGCGATTTTTGCCTCCTGCGGAAAATCGATTGTAAATAATAATCGCGTCTAAGACCCAAGTATACGTATATGTTTATATGCAGATTTAGGTCTTTCGATTCTTTCCAAAAGAGCTCCGCGGTCAGAGACATTCTATTTTCATATTGCAATACGCGAAAAGAAATTTCAATTTAACAATTTAATTATTAAGATTTGTTCCTTGTAGCAAAACTTTTTGTATTTCTTTCCTTTTCTTTTTCTTCCGAACGTCTGATTGTATCTGCCTCGATTTAAATGTAGAAAGTGTGTTTTGTGCAAAGAACAGATCTTTAAACATTTCAAAATAAAGCTGCGATTCGCTCACGACATTTAGCAAAAAGACGCATAGGACGTTCTAAGGACTCTTTGCGTGTCGCGCAGAAGGGGATTTTTGCATTTCCCTGCGCGATAGGGAAGATTCTCGCGCTTTCTCTCGACTGCGGAGTGACTAACTTTCGTAGGCGTTTTGCATTCCGTAATGCTTGCGATCTCCGCCGCCACCGCCTCGTTCACGTCGGTCTTCTTGGCCGATGTCGACAACCTCGATCCGCGAATGCGCGCAAGTCCACGCGACCAGAAGCGGCTCGTGAATGCGTTTCCCCTCACGGCAGCGTACATGACCCACCCCCTGTCGAGTGATCTATTGCCGCCTCCCCGTGTCCGCACAGTATATTATCTCCAGGTCTTCGTGATGTCACGTCGCGCTATTTCGATCATTACGTCTCGTCGCGGTCGCGTTTATCTCGGACTCGTCTCAAACGTCACATGAACAAAAAATCATCGAGCGGACGAACTTCACGAGCAGGCGAATTTATGTCATTAAACGACGTATAATCGTCATTGAGACGTTTTAAATTCGACGGTTTAAAGACTTGTAAAGTTCGTTTTAGACGGTAGAACTTGCGTCGAATTTCAACATAGAGTTTCTCTTTATATAATTTTACGTGCCATGTGTTTTGATATTTGTGAGTGTCGTAATATATATTTTATATATGTGTTATGGTATTCTTCAAATGTTTTTGTATTACACATGGCACATAAGATTATAAATTATAAATTACTTTCGTTTTATTAATTATACAGTTTTTGCAAAATGCATTCTTATTATCATTTATTTGCAAAATGATGTTTTAATTTCGGCGGTTATTCGTTGCACGCTTAAAATAATCTCTGTTGGAAATCGATCGGCCGCTGTAAAGTTATTTGTGATCTGAATGACAGAATTCGATTGATGGAAATTGCGTTACGTTGTTTGTCGCAATGCAAACAAGTTACAACAATCGCGATAAGAGTGACGTGCGTGCATGACCTTACGGCCATCAAATAATTTCGAAATAATTTCATAATTCATTATATGGAATTGCTGTACCGCAATGCTATGGCATTACGTCCGTTCGATACAGATTTATAGGATAATATCAAAGTTATTCTCTCAATTCTCAAATAATTTAAGAGCACCTGGAAATTATCAACTATATCTATCAGACGAGTTAAAATTTAAAAAAAAATAGCAATATAAAGAAAGGAAAATTGTATAAACGTGTTAGAATTATAAAATAAGAATATTGTCTCTTTGTCAGACACGCGTTTATTTGTACGCTACAATTTAAAAATGATATATGTCCTCGAGACGCTGTCCGAGATCCCGTGCGCGAGATTGTTTAAATCGCCTGTCTAAAGGTCGTCCGGGTCATCGCGCGAGCGATATACGAGCTATTACAGATTAACTCCCGCAGAGAGAGCTCAGAGATCGAGCCGGTCTGTCGTCGCGCGATTGGCGGGTATAGGCACTACTCGTCGTTAGTCATCGTCGCGTTGCCGTTGCGCCGAGAGCGGATCGCGCACCGACCACCTGTGGCATTCCACAGTCGTTGGCCACGTTTCGTTCGCAGGTGCCGGAGCAGCGCGATTATTCAGGAGAGCCACCGGCGACTTCTCGCAATTGACGTCTGTAAACAACGAATAAAATTGACGGCCGGTCGCGCGAGTGTTTACGAGGTGCTTACAAGTTGAGGCAAGGTGAGGAAGGATGGTTATCTTGGAATTCCTAAGTTTGTAAATTACGAATGTGTCGTCGATGTTCTAATAATTTTCAATAAACCTGGCACACTCGTGATTATCGCCGTTTTTGACAGAGCACGTCGCTATAATTCGCAGATGGCCCAGTGCACGGTCCTGGTGATTGGCAGCGGTGGCAGGGAGCATGCCATTTGTTGGAAATTGTCGCAGTCGCCGTGTGTAAGTTAAAAATTGTCAGAATGGCAACCGGCAGAGATTAATACAACGTACGTTCTGTTTATTAGGTGAAAGAAATCTTGGTCGCGCCTGGGAATACCGGCATCAAAGAAGTGGATAAGGTTCAATTAGTTGAATTAAATGTCAAAAATACTAAGGTATACACATAATGTTCTGTACTCTTCCCTCTTTCGTGGATCAATGCAATATTAATTACATTCTTTTTTTTCTCTGTAGGAAGTCGCCAAATGGAGCAAGGACAATAACATTGATTTAGTAGTGGTTGGACCGGAGGATCCCCTTGCTCAGGGATTAGCGGACGATCTCAAGGACGTGGGAGTGAAATGTTTCGGGCCGCAGAAGAAAGCGGCCCAGATTGAGGCCGATAAAGATTGGGCAAAGCAATTTATGGACAGAAATCGTATTCCCACTGCTAGATGGCAAGGCTTTACCTCCGCTTGGGATGCGAAAAAATTTGTTAAAAGGTGAGGAGTTTCTTGTCGAAAGGAGGATGACATGAAAAACTTATATAATTTTCCTCGTCGCAGTGCTCCCTTTAAGGCGCTTGTCGTGAAGGCCTCCGGTTTGGCGGCCGGTAAAGGTGTAGTGGTGGCGAAAGATCAGCATGAAGCTTGTCATGCGATAGACGAAATGTTAAGTGATAAGAAATTTGGAGCTGCTGGTGAGACTATAGTTGTCGAGGAGCTCTTGGAGGGCGAGGAAGTATCTGTACTTGCATTCACAGACGGTAAATAAGACTATGCTTCTGTCTAAATTGTTTTTTTACCGAAAGAAAAAAGATATTCAAGGACTCTTCTTGACGCTCAGGCAAAACTGTCGTACCCATGATGCCGGCACAGGACCACAAGAGAATCTTTAACGGGGATACCGGTCCAAACACTGGTGGAATGGGAGCGTATTGCCCATGTCCACTGTTAAACGAAGCGGAATGCGAAGAGGTGAAAATAAATGTTCTTCAGAGAGCTGTCGATGGACTTAGAAAGGAGAAAATCCCGTTTGTTGGTTTGTAATTTTGCTTTCGATTGACAGTGAGATTACGTGAGCGTGAGTTATTTACGTAAAATACTAATATTTCGCAGGAGTACTGTATGCCGGTTTAATGCTGACTGCAGACGGTCCCAAAGTCTTAGAATTCAATTGCAGATTCGGCGATCCCGAGACTGAAGTAGTATTACCGCTGTTGTCGTCGGATCTGTTTACAATTATGAAGGTACAATTGATTAGATTTGTTAGAAGTCACATTCATATATAACACAACATCGAAGATTTTATCTCTGCGTCGATATACGTTTTAATATATTTGATATGATTTTATTACAGGCCTGTTGCGACGGAACTTTAAGCTCGTCTCTCGTTTCCTGGCGCGAAAACGTATCCGCTGTGGGTGTGATTTTAGCGTCTCGCGGCTATCCGGCGTCCTCGTCCAAGGGTCAAGTCATAACAGGCACCGACGAGGTGTCGCGTAAACAGGACCACTTTGTCTTTCACAGCGGCACGGCCGTTTCGTCAGACGGCGAATTAGTAACCAACGGTAAATAGCGGCACGATAAAGGATATTCCAACAAATGCCTAGATAATTTTATAATTTATAATGTTTACAGGCGGAAGAGTTCTTATCACCGTCAGTATCGCGCCAACCTTGGCAATGGCAGCGGCTAGAGCTACCCAAGCTGCTCAGTACGTGTCGTTCGATGGGAAGCAATTTAGAACGGATATCGCGCATAAAGGGATCGCCAGGTGGGATGATTGATTTACAGACCGATAGATTAATATCTCGCACGAAATTAACGATTTATACGTTTCAGATCCATTTTGCAGAAAGGGCAGTTAACGTACGAGAGCAGTGGCGTGAGCATCGACGCCGGTGATCATCTCGTATCCGCAATTAAGCCAGCTACTTGCGCCACAAAGCGCGCTGGCACTTTGGGTGCCATAGGCGGATTCGGTGGTCTCTTCGATGTAAAAGCCGCCGGTTACAAGGATCCTATTCTTGTGTCGGGCACCGATGGCGTTGGCACCAAATTGAAGGTGAATGTCAAGTTCGAGGGAAACTGTTAGAACCAGCCTGCTCATGAGCGAAAAAATTTCTCTTCTTAGATAGCAATTGAATGCAAGAAGCACGACACGGTGGGCATAGACTTGGTAGCTATGTGCGTGAACGACGTCCTCGCGCACAACGCGGAGCCGCTGTTTTTCCTCGATTACTTCGCCTGTGGCAAGCTCGACGTTGGAGTGGCCACAAAAGTGATAAATGGGATTACCGAAGGTTGCAAGCAAGCAGGATGTTCCTTGGTAACAAAATATTCATTAATTAAAATGTTTGAAAAAGAAAGAATGTTTTTAAAAGCTGTATTAAATAAAGGGACAAAAATATCTGTCTCCACGAAATATTTACGTTATTTATTCGACCAAGCATTATATGAATATTTTCAGATCGGCGGAGAAACGGCTGAAATGCCAGACATGTATCCCGAGGGAGAGTACGACCTGGCGGGCTTCGCGGTGGGCGCGGTCGAAAAGGGCAATTTGCTGCCTCGCGTGAATGACATTAAGGAGGGTGATGTGATAATCGGTCTCCCATCGAGCGGCGTGCACAGCAATGGCTTTAGCTTGGTGCGAAAAGTTTTGAAACTCGCGGATAAGAAATACTCGGACGTCGCACCTTTCTCAAAGAGCAATCGAACGATTGGTATGAAATGTTTTTCTAAATTACAATAAGCTGCTTTTAATCAATATGAAGATGATACGAACGATCATAAGAAAGCACGTTACAAGACTAAATTCTGTACCATAGGCGAGGAACTGTTGGAACCAACAAGGATTTATGTAAAAAGCGTTATTCCTGCCTTGCGAACCAACCTGGTAAAGGGATTCGCGCACATCACCGGCGGCGGTCTTACGGAAAATATTCCAAGAGTTTTACCGGAGAACCTGGGTGCGACGTTAGACGCACAAAAATGGAATGTTTTACCAATCTTTAGCTGGTTAGCTGCAATTGGTAGGTTTATTGTCCACAAATCTGCATATTTCTATTTCTAAAAACTGCAAAATGCATAAAGTGATAAGTGCTAATCGATACATAATGCTTAAATTTTTAGGCGGAATAAGTAAGCACGAGATGCTAAGAACATTTAACTGCGGAATCGGCGCGATCTTGGTCTGCTCCGAGAAGGACAAGGTCGAAGTTTTGGCGAAACTAAAAGACGAAAATCCTGTGGTTATCGGAAGCGTGAAAACACATTACAGTAATTATAATTTGCTATGATACATAATTAATTACGTTGATTTATACGTTCGTGTTAATTGTGTTAACGTAGATGACCGGGCTAGAGTGCACGTAGAGAACTTTGAAAAGGTCCTCGAGCCGGAGATGAAACAATATATTCCCATCTTGGTTGCAACAATGAGCAAGCCGCTTAAGAGAGTTGGCGTTCTGATATCGGGTAGCGGCACAAATCTCCAGTCGTTGATTAACGCTACGCAGGATCCGTCTCAGCACATTGGAGCGGAAATCGTCCTGGTGATTTCCAACAAGCCCGGCGTTGAAGGATTGAAACGTGCTGAGAGAGCTGGCATTAGGACAGTGGTAACTAATACACTAATGTGGGCTGCGGATAAAAAGTGAAACGTGGGTTTATGTTCTTTCTATCATTTCTAATCCGCAGGTAATTAAGCACACCGATTATCCAAGCCGCGAAACTTTCGATGCCGCCATGAATGTGGAGCTTCACGCTGCCGGAGTGGAAATAGTGTGCCTCGCTGGCTTTATGCGAATTCTTTCGGAACAATTCGTGAAGCATTGGAAAGGAGCTCTGTTAAACATACACCCCTCATTGTTACCTTCTTTCAAAGGCGCGAACGCGCACAAGGATGTTTTAGCAGCGCGTGTGCGTGTGTCGGGCTGCACTGTACACTTTGTTGAGGTACGGCAGCCGAAAAATAACTTCTTTTTTTTTTTTTTTTAGTTTAATCGAACTAAAAAAGAAGATAGCTCTAACATCTTTATCTCGGTTATTAATGAATCATTATCGATCTTTCTGTTATCAATTAGGTTGACATAGATTCAGGAGCTATCATTGAGCAGGAAGCGGTGCCCGTCTTTCCAGACGATGAAGAGAAAACTTTGCAAGAACGCGTGAAGACCGCGGAGCATCAAGCCTATCCTCGTGCCTTAAAACATCTGGCGACTGGTCGTATAAAACTGAAGGAAGACGGCGCTCTTCACTGGAATTATTAGAGATCGCATGTACATACCTATACATATACCGGGTTTATAAAAAAAAGTACAGAAATTATATTTTTTTATACTGTTATATATATTAATCTTATTACTTATACATGTACAAATAAGTTACGATATCACATTTCTCTCATCCTCTAAGAAATTTTTTTACTGAACAAGTCGCTTATGAAATTAAATAAGTCCTGGGACATGCTCATATTCGAACTTTCGTGGCTAGTGTCCGCATATTTTTTGATATTTTTAGAGGGCGGTACTGATAACGCTTTCTCCGCGAACTTGTCCAATTTCACGTGAAGCATTTGCTTCTGAAGTATAGGTACTAGCAAGTTGTACTTATCAATTTTATTATTTATCTGCCTCGTCGTAGTCTTGAACTTTTCTAATTTGTCGCGCCACATCATTTCGTCTTTCGGAGACAACGGGAGCTCGCCCACGTCATTACGCGCCTCCGTCAATCTCTTCTCCAATTCCTCGGTCTCTTCCCTGATTTCCTTCGACAGCTGTATCCACTCCGGAGTGAATCCATTGTCTAACAGTATCTGCAATCGCGATCAATATAAACGGATGAGTTGATTACGTTCGCGAGTCATCGAAACTAACGTCCCGTACTTCTGTATTTCACCTGATTCAATTTATGCGTCACGAAATCAACGTAAGGATTTCTAGCGCTTGTAGCCTTCAGCGGCTTTCCCATTCCAGATAGATCGCTGAATTCACCCTTGCTCATCGCCTCCTGAATCAAGTCCTCCACCAGACGATCCATCCCGTAACGAGTTTTGATATCCTTGGCCTTCTGCTTGTCCATGCCGACCAACGTATTGCGCTCTTCGGCCTGCAGCTTCGTCAGCCTGTGCTCCATCACATTGTCGACCGCCTTCTGAGCCCTCTGTATTGTGTGCAGCCGCTGCCTTTTGCTCGGCGTGCCGATACCCACGTCGTAGGTCAAGTAATGACGATGCTGCGGCGCTGTGTGCTTAAAATAAAGACAATTAAATAGCCGGAATAGAAGATATATGAAGATACGTTTACACATCGAATATAGGCTACCTTGATATCGAACTCTTCCACTTCCAGTGATGCCGTTTCATCTCTCTGAGCGTTCCTGATTCTTCGAATCTCTCTATAAGCGCCTTCAATCTATCAATGAACAATCGCATGTGAAGCGGCCTCGCTTTACTTGTTTATCTCAATGAACGTAACTCTTGCGACGCGTTACCTCGGAAAATCTAACGGCATCGGCCTCCGGCGTACCGCTGTCCGGATGAAAGCGCTTCGCAAGATGAACGAATGCCAGTCTCAGGGTCTCGTCCTCGCAATTCTCCGCTACGCCCAACGTCTCGTACAGTTTCTATCGAACACGAGATTTAAGTTATTTCGACAGTATGTGAATTACATTATATATAAATACGAAATATATATTACTCAATATTTATATACCTTTGTGGTGAGCTTAGGGTTAACTCGATGCACGAACCTCTTGGACAAGACCGACTTGGCGGCGGATGACACGTGCGACAGATAAGCTCCCGGCTTGGACAGCCGATTCAGGAACTGCATGGTTTCCCGGCGCGTTAAAAACAATGTCACGTTGTAATTTCTGTACCCGCTGCGCGCGTTACATAATTTTCGCGAAATTACTTCATTGCATGCGCAAAATTAACCTCTGACTGTCACGCACTCGACACGCACCGAACGTCACCACGTTGGCCACGTGACGAGGAGCGAGGAGATCGCGCCGGACTGGAGTTCGCTTGCGTCGATTGGCTAATCGTGAACTCGTGGTCGGAGCTTTGCTCCGCTTTGCTCCTTGATTATCCGAGAACAATTGGCGAATCAGTTGCAGCTTCGAACTTGTCCATCCGTGCTCCGACGGCGCTGACGATCGCTCTCGCATTAAAGCCATTAAATGGAAAATCGCGTTTATTTACTCGCCGCACATCCCGCATGCTGCTGTCACCTGTCACTCGCATTTAAAGTGCCAGCCACGGCACAATGAGGTTAGATCTCGTCGTTTTTATAACAATTATCTGCCTTTTGTGGGACCGGGACGAACGTCTGGCGCTCGCGAACAAAAGCGCCGTACCGGAGCAGGAGAAATACAGGCCCAACGGTCCGCGGGTGTTGTGTAAATTCTTGTGAGTATTCGCCGATGGACACTCCCCTGAAATGTTCCAACGAGACAAGTACATATATGTACAACGACTGTTTCTTGCAGACCTAAGGAATTCGTGGAATGCGAGGACCCGATTGATCACAAGGGAAACAAGACCGCCAAGGAGGAGACGGGCTTCGGTTGCGTCAAGGTGTGTCTATACGTAACGCAAGTTTTCCCTTCGTATAAACGTTCGTTAAATTTAGAAGAAACTCGATAAAAAACTTTTTTTTTCTCTATCATCACTGCGCAATTGCAACAGCTGTGAGGAATGCATGATTTTCCGACGGCATTCAGGTGTACCGGATTATTTACGATTGATGAATTAACAGTTTGGAGGGTCTCGCTACGAGGATGTGGAGAAGACCAAGGTATCCTGTTCAGCGCTGCCAGACATCGAGTGTGCCGGACCAAAGACATTCTTTCGCGAAGGGGTACCGTGCATAAAGTACAGCGACCATTACTTCGCGACGACCCTCCTGTACAGTATCCTGCTGGGTTTCCTCGGTATGGATCGCTTCTGCCTCGGGCAGACCGGGACAGCGGTGGGCAAACTGCTGACGCTGGGTGGCATGGGTGTATGGTGGATCGTCGACGTTATCTTATTGGTAACGAACTCCCTGCAACCCGAGGACGGCAGTAACTGGAATCCATACGTATAGCATTTTCAAGAGACCAGGGATCATTTTTTGTGATACAACTTAGTTTATATTTTTACGGGTGGCTCCTTGCGGGAGTGATCAGCTTACATTAGACGGTTCCCAAGTTCAACTTCTAATCGCCATCCCGCGCGTGTCTCGGTTTTGTAAGGTTTATTAGAAAATTGAAATTAAGCGAAGAAGTATAATTTAATTCTTATTTCGGGAATTTATCTCGTATTTAAATTACTATTACTTGTAAATAAATCGTTGTAATACGTTGAATATTAGTTTATACATAATTTCGAGTGCTTTAACGTGCAAAGAAAAAATAATTGTTAATTTATATTTACTTAAAAAACTACTAGGTTATAAGTAAGGGTAAAAAGAAACGATCGTGATTTAAATATAAGTACATAACTGTTTATAATTCATAATCATCAGGATGGTACAATTCACTGAGCAATCTATATACATAAGACGGTGCATTTCCACCTCTGAAAAAGAAAATAAACACATTTATTATTACTCGAGTTTAACACTAATCTGCATAATTAACAATCCTAACAATCTTACATGTTCGAGATGAATAATGTGACGAGGTCCGGTGGAACGTAATCGAACACCGGATTGTAAGCGTGTATCCGTTCCAGCAACGGTGCATTGGTACTGTCGATTACGCCGTGCATCGGCGAAACGTAGCAGTTGAAGCCATTGTGCTTGCCCGAGCAGTGATAGAGGGGCGCGAGCTTGTAGAGCGGCAGCAGAACCATCACTGGAACGGAATAATGCTTGGCGGCTTGCGCGACGGTGTGCGCGCCCGAGACCGCCCGGAGCCCGCCGTTCGCCATGACGGTGTGAGTGCCGATGATGACCTTGTTGACGCGGGACATCATCGCGAAGATCGCCACGTCCGAGATCAGCGTGGTCTTGATCTTCGCCTTGGCCAGATTCACCGCCATCTCCTGGCCCTGCAATCATTCGCAGAATTTTTTTCCCCCCTTTTGTATTCTCCTCTTAATTTTACTTCGAGTCCATCTTGAAGATAGCCATGAGTAGATATACACTTACGCTTAGCGATGGTCCGCCCTCGGCTACTATAACGTCGAAGGCTCTGGTAGCGGCGGCCTCCTTGAAAAATTCCTCCACCAACTTCGACTTACCGATGGTCATTATAATTTCGTTCGAGTGTATATGTTTAGACGCTTGTCGTGTGATGTTTTCTGAACTGTGAAAACATATTAAATTCGTTCGACTGTTAAAAAATGTAATCAAAAGATTACTAACAAATTCTATTATGAAATGATGCCAAGGTGAGAACAGCAAGGAGAAAATAAGTGTCTAAATTGAGCCAAAAATTGCATCTCCAATATCAACCACTCTATATCATGGACATTGCATTATTTTTATATCGTATGACACAGATATGATTCTAACTCACCATGTTTCCAATTCGGTTTCAAATTCGTTAATGTGTTCGATGAGGGAGACTTTGAGGGACGGTATCGAGACGTTGAAATCTATCTGCTGGTCATCCTCGGCAGTAAGAATCTTGTGCAAGGACTCCTGGGGATACGTCTCGTCCGTCTTGTTCTTCAATTTCGAGGTATATTCTTCTCTAATAATCTGCAATATCCTCCTTACCATGTTTCCGATACATGCTTCAAGAGGAAGCTCTTTGATCAGATACTTTCCGTTTCGCACGACAATATCCATCAAGTCTCTGGAAAATAAGTTAATCATGTAAGTTGATGCGAAAAATAGAAACAGAGATATGGTGTTTTCTATCTAGGCAAAATAAACACAAATGTTCAAACACGTGTTTCGCAACAATGATGCAACGGCTTTGAAATAACGATTCATACTTCGCTGTATTCCACTCTGTATTATTGATGATCTCCTTGAGCACGGAGATCGTAGCCACCACGATGTTGTGCGTGCCCTTAATTTCTCTGCAAAAGGGCAATTTCTCGTGAATGACTGCATTTCTCGTTCTCTTTTATTTCCTTGGAGGTTCAATGAAAATTATCTTACCCATAGTGAATGCTGTCTATCAGCTTTAGCACGCTCTCGTCAGCACGCTTAACGTCTTCTGGGCTTACGTCAATCATTTTTATCGCGTTCGAATAATTATATCCACCACAGAATATCTTGCTGTTCCAAAAATTCTCGAAGTTACTCGTGACTCGTGCAATGCGTCATGTTTTTTTCTCACAGCTGTTGAGACTCGAGAATGAGAGGAGCGTGGCACCTTCTGCGCATGTGCGGCGAATCAAGTAGGATGTCAGTATGGGTGCCAGTAGCGTAGCTGGATGCGAAAAGTTAAAAATGACAAGATTAAAATCATTCTACAAGTAAACAACTTTCAATATGAATCGATGTAATAAAAAAGAGGCTATTAAAGAAACAGCTCTATTTATTGAATATTTGCTTAATTCTCAGGTAATTTTTACAAGAAACAAGATGCTCAAAGCGTGTACTTTAAATAGGTTTGTGCTGGCAATTTGGAGCAATCTCGACCAAGCTAACTTAATCGACGATTAATATCGGCAAAATCGTTTGGAACAAAATTTCAAACATTTCGTTGTTTCTTCCTGCATGTTAAACAATAAATGATTCTGTCAATATTAAAATAGTATTGCTCGATAAATTGGTCGCAGATCATGGACACAAAAGCATAAGTTGTCGCTCCTGAGTCGACTAACCTAACTTAAGTAATACATATAATGTATATAAATGCTTCAAGATATCGCCTTTCAATCACCGACCATAACATAACCTCTGTACCGGTGTACCACACATGCCATGCCATGTGCGCTATATAACCTTAAATCTTGCGAGAAGGTTGAAGGCGCTATAATTCACCAGCCGGTGGAGTAAAAGGGGGAGAGGGGAAGAGTGTACCACACCATCCGTACCGCCACGTGCCGGTTATCCTGACTTGGATTTTTCACCGTTGCTCACAGAAAAACTTTGATTTATTCGCTGCACTAAGCTGCATTAGGACCTTTCTTCTCACTGAACTCCAAATATTTATCTGTTTCACTTCAAATACAGCGTGTACGCTGGTGGCTTCAATTAGAAATAAACACCTATGTCCAACGAGAAAATTGCTGAAAGCCATGCACTGGGGGAACTTGTCTCCGACTACAAGAACCCGGCAATCAAGTGGCACCAGACGGACATCACGGTTGTCATTTGTATTCAGTTGACCGACGTATCCGATTACTACCTCCGAATCGAGGACAATTGCTTGCAGTTTAGGTAATTAGATCTGCGCTATAGGAAGCTAAGAAGGAGTAGCAGCGCGTTTGAGGTAACAATTCTAATTTGTCAAGTGTTGTTGCAGTACACAGACAAACGGAGAGAAATACTACCTCGTTTTGCACCTGTTTGGGTCGGTGGTAGCGGAGAAGACAGTGCACAAGAATGTCGGCAGGGTGATTAAGATCTATCTTGTAAAGGGTCTCAAATGTATGGTGTTAATATTTTTCCCGCTGTAAATAATTTATCTCCGTGAAAAACAGAACTTATATCTTGTCTCTCCTGTTTCAATAGGGTTTCCATGGTTGAGATTGACCCAGACCAAAGAAAAGAGTTCACTTATATTGTACAATCCGGATTATATACATGATCCGGATATATATGATCCGGACTATATATATAAGACGAATCCCATTCAACAGCCTTACGACAGTAAGAATAATTTATTTTTACACTTGTATCTTCACGAGATGCTCGGCTTATTTGCAGAACGAGCAGAGACGAGTATTCTCTTTTTCTACACTTCATTCACATGTATTCTCTCTTGTTTTATAGCAGAAAGATTCCCACGATACAAGCGCGAGCATAAGATAGACTATATACTGCCTGATGTGCCGTCCAGCGACGAGGAGGAATCTGAGGATGAATACGACATAGACTTCTTCGCTTAATACCTTTCTATTAACTGAATTTAACTCTGATGTACATATTTAATGTTTATTGTATGAAAAACGAGAAACTTTTGATAATTACTTTTTACAGTTTTTACTGCAGTGCTAATTATATATCTTATTACAATATTTATTGAAGATGTACACAGTATATAATATTAAAATATACCATATAAGATTTTTCAATTTAAAACAGTCAGGAAATAATAAATAAGGCACTAAAAGTCTAACACGCAGATCTTGATGCGTAAAACAATTTTTATATTCAAATATGTAGTTACATATCCATATACAAAATTTTTCCTTCCGTACGTTTCGGCCTCCTTTAGGTTTTCTTCAGCGATAAAAGATACAATAATATTTCATAATAATAAATTCTTCCGCTACTCAACGTCAATAAGTTTCGCGGTGTAGAAAAAGTTCAAATACGTTATATCAATAAATTACGTATTAAAATTTTGTACATGGATGTAACATATTTGAAGATAAAAAAATTGTTTTGCACACAAATTCTGAATGTTAAACTCTTAGTGTCCGATTTATTATTTTCTGAGTATATTATATCTTTTGAATTTTTTGCAACAAGATTTTAAACACACAGCTTTTCTGTGACAATTAGCGAATCGGAAATAATTGTCTTATATTAGGATTTGGTAATTCATTGACAATTTTCAAGATCGAACTTCTTAATCATTATTTGAAGCATCTAATGTATCACTATATAGTGTACAATATAAGCTTAAAACAGCCTAAAGTATATGATTTTTATGTTTGTTAAATCGTTTTTATTTTCATGATTTAAAATGATATTTTTTAACAAACGTAATGTTTTGTTGCATAAAAAACATAATATTTTTACATATCACAAAAGTTAATGTATTTATAAAATAACTACACTTTGTTACAAAAAAACATTTTTTTTCTGTCTCCGAAATGCGACGATATGGAGCACATTTTGTAAATTTCACAAAAAGTCTAAAATTCGAACAGTCATACTTGAAAAAAAATTGTACGGTCATTAAAATTCGTTTGAAAGCTCTTAAATGATACTTTCAGATGCCGTTGAGTTTATTTAGAAATCAGTTTCCGTTGCTTTAAAAAAAAAATGTTAAAAGTGGCCAAAATTTTTTTTACCATTTTTATTCCAATTTACTAAAAAGTCTGACGTGCCAGGCAAATTCTTCAAACGGCATCGTGTTCAGCGCGAAAAAATCTCCGAGAAATGTATAGCAAATATGTCGCACTTCGGAGAGAATTTTACTTAACAGCGTTATTTAAGGATTATCATTTACAAAATTGTATCAAATGTCATAAAGATCAGATGTCATGAAATTAATGCGTCGTCTTCACATATCTCATTTCGGAATATTCAAGAATATTTAACTGTGTTTTCATCAAAATATTGTGCAATAAATAAAATCTCAAAGAGTTTTATAAAATGTACGTCTTATATGTACTTATTTATTATATGTGGAATGTCACTAAACTAAGTTGACTGAAAATTGCATAATTATTCATATGAGTACATTTTATAAACATATCTTTGGCATAGCTTTGAATTTCTATTCAAAATTATGTTATACAATTTTGTGCTAATCTATCTACAAATATTTTGATGGTAACTACTTGATGATGGTAACTACTATAAAATAACAATAAAACACGCTTGAAAATTACGTCCTTTTCGAATCCAGCATCTTGCTAAAACCATCTAATTGTCTAAAATTAAAACGATAATACCAGGAAAATTTGTTTATAAAAGAAACGGTATTTTTTCGACTAATTGTAAGGAAATGTATATTATTGTATTTGTATAACGAACGATGTTATATTACATACTGATTTCATTTAAATGTTCCTAGGTTTTATCACATAAATCATGACTAACTGATTTTACTAAGCATGCATGATAATCCTTTATAATACAAAAAGATATCATTTTACTGAGGTATTGTTTTACAATAATATGTGCGAAGTAAGAAATTAAAAAGGAAACTTTTGTATAATAAAATAAAAAATGAGACTGTTATACATTAATAATAAATAGAATTGCAACAGTCATAATGTTTTACATATCTCGCAAAATGGTTTATAGAATGTCTACAAAATTTGTATTGCGTGATGATTGATAACGAATTATATTCGTTATGTCAGAATAAATAACATTGTGTTTATAATCGTATGTGCACAATGGATTAATTTCCCAAACTTTAATATAAACAAGATTCAGCTTATTTGATTTTTTATTTTTATATTAAATTTATATTAGACGTTTCCATTAACTCTTTTATACATCTGTTCGTAGAACTAGCCATTAGAATCTATCAACGTTTATTCAAGGTTGATGTAATTTTGATATATTCAAATGTTACGACAACGTATGCGTGATTCTAATTAGCGGCAACGGAAGAACGCATAGTATCTCTTCGCGGTATCGCTCCGCAAGATAATTTCACAGACTGTGTTTACTGCAATAATTACTTATTATGGGCGCGGTGATGAAAATTAAAATATGCAATGATGTATTGCATCGTTTGCACTCAACTTATCAGATATGGCTTAATTTCATTAATATTGATATAACATTTTTTTTGTACAACATAGATGTCGGACGCGATATATACAATCCAATTTGCAATACCACTCAACATATCGCATTAAGATGGCTGCATATAAACGTATTTTATTTGGCTAGCAATCCTCTAATGACAGTCTTTGATTTATATTATCGACTCTTAGCTTCATTTCCCTGAGAATATCTACGGCAAGGTCGTCGACAGAGGTGTACCGTACCTTGAAGAAATTAAATATATCTACGAGAAATTCGATTACTTGTTCCCTAAAGTAAAGACAAGTGGAACGTAGACTCTCTTCGGAGCCCAGGAATCCCCAAATGAACATCGGCGAGATTTGCTCGGAGATGGAATAGAAGTGCGCCAAGAAGCCCTGCTCGTATTTCAGCATCTTTCTTTTGCCCTGCAGGAAGGACCAGAGCGTCGTTCCTATCGCCTTTAAAGATAATCGGCGAATTAGGGTAAATAAAAATTATAAGATATAAAAAATTATATTCGCATAGTTCACGCACAGTTTCCCGAAAACTGGCGGAGATCCATCTATTCTGAACTATAGCTCTGACGGTCTGCGGCGGTTTCTCCACATCCTCGAACGCGTCTAAGAGTATGAAATCAATGAGCACGTCGTAGAAGTTCATGCACTTGACACCTCGGGCGGCCAATTCCTCCTCCATGATGCTGTGATTGCGCGGCTCTTGCAGGAACTCCAGCATGCGCTCGTAATACATCAAGTAGTCCTTCGGATCCTGCAACGTGAAAATTTTTTTCCCTTAACGTCGGGCAATTCGCTTCATAACACTCTCATTTTACGTTTATTTATTCAGTTAATATTCTCACCCTATCCGCGTACATAATTAAATCGCTAATGACTTGACGACCCACGTCAACTATATACGCCGCCGCCGTAGGTAAATTAAATAATTTTGTATAGGCTTGACGCAGGCAGTACACCTTCGCTAAATATTCCACGTCCGATCCACACTTCACGAGTTCCGTGTGTAGTCTCCTGTAATATATAATTCCATGTCATATCCATTACGTGGGGATGAAGATAGGCTGACAATTAATCAATTTACCTGCAAGGAATGCCTTTATCCTCATACTGTTTCAGAGCAGCATGATAAAGCTTTTGCCTCTCAAAATGTGGAAACAATTCTGAGAATTCTTCGAATTCGCGCAGATCCGCAACCTGAAGTATTAATTTTAATAATAATTAAGTTAATCTATCTATTTTCCTTCGATATCAAGAGAATTATTTGGGAACAGCTTGTAGTTATTATTATTATAAAACAATTGCTCATTTTTTCAGAATCGTATACTGCACGCCTTGCATGCGTTAACGTGCCACAGCCGCATCCATTTAATCTCTCACACACGCTATCGAACAGAACAGTTTATCTGTCTCGTGCACAACTCACCCCGTCACGTGCAGATTCAAACGATTCGGGCGAGGATGCGGCGTCAGCTTTATCCCTGATGCCAGATATCCGCGTCCCGATGTTCGAAGGTTTGTCGAGGCTGTCCTCGCTGTCGTTGCGGAATAAAACGGAGCGCTGCGCGTGAGGGAAGGGGAAAAAGAAAGTAGATAAATAAATAGAGACGAAGAGCAGAAGCTGCATACATCGAGGATACTTCCTTCTTCTTTCTTTTTTACGGCGCCTGCTCTCTGTCGAGAGTTAAGACGGCCAATACATCGAGGATATACATGAACGGATCGCAGCTCTCTCGCGATTGATGTACGCCCCCGATCTCCCCCGATGAATCGCGAAATTGTATATTCGAAAACTCAGATTGCTTTCAGAGAAAGTCATGCACTTCCTATGCTATTAACGTTCCGCAACAATTCCCGGCGCGGTGGCTGGCGTCAGGTCAAGTGACTCGTTGCGCTAATTACCCCCGGGGCGGCCGTCATTTAAATTGGATTAATTTCCCCCGCATTTTTTTACCGGGCCGGTAGAAGGGCAATTGATGAATGCGACAGAATGGAATGGCATCGGGTGATCGTCCGCCCGGTCCGTTTATCTCGCGGAGAACGGGCGGTGGTCTCGCCGCGCGCCGGATCGAAGACCACCGAATCTCGTGATCGCGCTGAGTCAGCGGGATTAAGTTTTGTATATGTGGATTGATGGATGCTTGGTGAGATACCGTACTTGATCGAGGAAGAGCAGCTCCGCGTGGCTCTGGATCTCGTAGCCCATGTCGAGTAGCTGCTGCACGTCGCCGGTGAACGCCGCGTCGGCTTTCGACGGCAGTGCCAGGGTGTCGTTGCCGAGGGTCGAACTGAACGCGGTGAGCGCGTCCTCCCAGCAGTAAAGGGCCTTCTCCAGCGCCTCGAGTCCTGTCAAGCGAGAACGACGTCAGTTTATCATGGTGGACGAAAGATTGGGGCCGTGGTTATATCGGAAGAAAAATATAAGCCGTAAACATAGCACTCTCGTTCTCTTCAGACATAAAAAAAAGTAATCTGAAAACTTTAGGGGGAAACGTAAGCGGACTTTAAGTTATAGCCTCAGCGGGAAAATATGTATATAAGAAAGAAACAATAACGAGAATTAATGGGTGTTACGGTCAGTGACAGAAAAGCTTAAGAATCAATCCACTTGTTAATCTAATCGTGATAAATGTAATTCTATATTATTTCATGGTGTATACAAAAATAAGATTAGGAAAATTAAATATACAAAGATAAGATTAGGAAAATTAAATATTTACAAAGATAAGATTAGGAAAACTAAATATTAGGATATTGAGGTATATATTATTTTAATACATATTTTCTGGCGCGCAGGAATTCGAGCCCAGTTTCCAGCCAGTCGGAAGAATATACCTTTCCCCTCGCGCGCAGGTAATTACGCTTTTTTCTAGAAAATTAACGAGTCCGAAATTAATGTCGACCTGTACGTGCATGAGCGATTAACGGTAAAAAAAAAAGCGAGGGACAGAGGGGAGATATCGCTACACTTGAGGATTTCAGGGATTCGAATTCCGAGTCGGTGACGCCACTCTCCCTTTATTCAATCTTTCGTAAGTCGCCGGAGAACGTTCACCAATTTGCCAGAACGGAAGTCCGACACGCCGCGTTAATTCAGAGAGTCGGCCTCCCCCTCCCTCCTCCTCTTCTCACCCTACCTAATGTCCCGAAGGCTGGTCCATCATCATTTTCAATCTGTGCCGTTTACCGTCTCACACCGCGACAATTATATACAATAATATACATATAACAACAACGACTCGACGAAACTGGGACAGATACGCGCGAGATCGATATCGTGACGATCTCTCGCGTGACAATTGACTCTTCGAAACTCATCGCTTAAATGATTGCCAATCAGTGGCATAACGAATCTCATGGGGAACGTTTGATAAACTTATCGTGATACAAGTCCGCCGAGTATCGCGGCGAGATCGTTAATGCGACAATATGACGCGACAAGCCAATCGCGATGGATCTTCTCTTTCTCTCGAAATTTAATTCCCGGTTTTCTAAGGAAAGTCAAGTCCGTTTTGCAGGGTCAGTGTTTTATCTCGAATCTCTTCGGACGAACGGATTCGAGATTGTCAGATTCGTTTCTATCGCGTGTCGTAGATATCGACTGTCTAAAAAAAGAATTACTTAATTGGAGAGAGGGAGAACAAGAATCTCGACCGAATCTTAGAGTGACTTTGATTACTCAAACTTCAATCAATTTAATTCAATAATTAAGTCATCCAAGTGATACTTATATTACACGGAAAGAATTTCCTTTTAAAATTTACCATGAAAATTTTGTTAATCGTGGGACAGCATAGTATTTCGACAAATTTTACAGTACATTACAATAAATTTTACTATGCACTACAATAAATTTGTTGTAGTATATATTAAAAAAAATAGTAAAAATTATATAAAATTCGTATCAAAATACCATGTAGTCCTACAATTAACATGATTTTCAGGGTAAATTTTAAACTAAAATTCTCTCCGTGTACTTTAATAACATGAAACAATTATTGTTTTGTTATTTAATATTTAGGAAAAAAAGATTAGATTAGAAACTAATCAACTAAAAGAATTACATAGTTAGAAATTTTGGTTCAAGCCGGGTTCTCTCAATTGAGGTTAATCAATAATTGAGTTAATTAGAGTTTGATCGAAGTCGCTTTTAGGTACTTTGACTTATTGACGAATTCGTAGCTGAAATTCACGCCGAGAAGCAAATCGGTGATTCGATCTTCGAAAATGGATAAGACATTGATCGCTCGGCAGAGAAGTCTTCGACCGCGCGGCGACGCTAATTTTCGTCCTCGGCTTTAATTTCGGGGAGGGAGGTGGGAGAACATGCATCTGTCCCTCCCGCATTCGCGAGAGAATGCACGATGTGCGAGACGTGTCCCGGTTTGTTTGCGCGGCACGCTCGCGCCGGGCGACATAAAGATCGCATTCCTGAAATTGAGCGAGGAAACGGAGAAGGCCGAAACACGGCAATGCGTGTTCCGTATTGCGCCACTTTGCTCCAATAATTTCGTCCAGCCGGGTGCTCCTCTCGAAACGAACGATCGTCTTCGACTTTTGTCACGCGTGTACAAATATTAAATCAAAGTTAAACGAAAAAAAAAAAAAAAAATTATCACATGCAATTCCTTTCTAGTATTTTATAGACAAATGCGAGAATGTAGGTACGTGGTCATTCTTTCTTCCCCTACTTTGTTCCCCTTACATCTGTAATAGCATTCCTCCACCCTGCATCCCTGTGGGATTCATCTTCATTCCAGATCAGATCATAACTCCAAAAGGATAAAAGGATATTTTAGAAGCGGCGTACGTATGTTGCGGATCGCGTCAGGGTTTAACAACCCTTTCCGCTGCAGAAAACTCCGCCGGAGCCTCATCCGTCGAAGCGCCGGGTGAAGTTTTCTCCCGAAAGGGTTAAACCCGCCGCACCGGTGCCCAGTCATTACGCAACCCCCGGGACGACCCCGAAGGGGTCGTAAGACGTCGGGAGATGCCCCCCGGAGAAACGCGGCAGTGCGACGCCGTTGCCCACGTCCGGCGTCAATAATATACCCCCGGAGTGACGTAATCGTCGGGTCGACCGGTCATTGGAGGATGCGTCATCCAATGGTGAAGGGTCGATAAGACACGCGCGCGCGCGAGCGACTGCCGCCTTTGAAGCACGCGCGCGTTTTTTTCTTTTTTTTTCTGCGCCGAATGAAGCAATTAACTTTATTTAAATGTACACATTTGCATCGCGAACCACCTGCTCGTCGCATTCAAGCATCTATGTGTAGCGCTAAAAATATAGTTTCTCTGTGAACTTCACCAGAAGCAAAATGCGCTCGTCCAGGGAAAAACACGCGTTGCTAACGCGCGAGTCGTCGCTAAAGCGCGCGCACGTTGCGCAGGGGGTGGCGATACGAAATTCTCAAGGGGACAATCGTCGGAATTAAACATTACGGGTTTCGTACGCTTCCCCACGAGCTGGACGTGGCACCCCAACTTTCATTCCGTATCGAGATTAAACCACGCCTGGATTAACTTCATGAATTAAACAAACGTTAACGTTCGAACGTTATATCCAGAGGTGGCAAAACACGATCGTAAATGCGAGCACTATTGCGTTATAATTGTTAGATACGTTTGTCATTAAATGTATTTTCCATCTCCTCTGTCCCCTTCGCAACGAAACGCTTCGAAGTTTCCCAGAAAAATGGCCGTAGCTCGCGACTTTCCTGTTTCCTTCAGGATTCGAATGCGAGAGAATTTTGATCCTGCGGATCGTCGATGCGCGCGCGGACCGAACGGGAGCGAGCGAGACCACATGCGTCCACGTTGCTGCGCGACAAGGACGAACGTGAGTCCAAGTTGAGAGGGGAAGCGGAGAGCGCTCGTCGGCGTTTCGCGCCGCGCGCTGGCGTCAGTTACTCGGCTACGTTCAGACGGTGCCGTCATTCGTTCGCCGCCGATTGCGCAGCGTGCTCGTGCTCGTGCTCGTGCTCGCACAGCGATATTTCCGCGCGTACATACACGCACGGCCGTTGACACGCGGAAGACACGCGCGACTCGCCGACCGAGAGAAGGATCGTGCTCGTAGGATGATCGTCGTCGCGAGGCCGTAATCCGCGATCCAGGAAGTAAAGAGAGATTTTTCCGGCACAGTGCCCCTGGCGATTTTTACCTCACGCGCGTTATTTGGATTAAAGTAGAATTACCGAGACGAGCGGCGAACCGAAGACGGGAATCACGGTGAGTATGCAAGAGTCCTGAACGATTTTTTTTGTTCTCGAAATCCCAAAATTTCTCACACAAAACTACCCCGACGAATGTCTCGTTTTCCCTCTGCTTTTGTCGTAAACAGGAGAATTCTATACATTTCTATATAATCCCTTTAACGCGACCAGTGTCTGCTTGACACATATAATTCCGCGTGCAACGCAGTTACAATAAACGCCATTTAAAACTCAACAGAGGTTTGGTGTTTTGTAGTTTCTAGCAGTTTCTAGCTTTTTGTCGAAAGGTTTTACCGTTTCCCCCTCCCCTGCAGTGTGACCATAACGTTCTTTCCACGCGTCCTTTCCGGGCGGTCCTTTCTAGCTTCGGCTTCCCCATTCTTTTGTCCTTTTAATATCGCGTCAATAACAAATATACCGCTACCGTCTTTTGTTTTGAAATAATTACGGCAGATTTTTGCAAAAATGTATACGAATCCATCCCTTTCGATTTCTTTCCATTTTCGTCGACGCGTCAACGGGGGAGATTCCGAACAAATCTGTACACTTGATAAATTCGCTAGCAGAGAGACGTTATGCGCCGGCGGTTCACTTCAGGTTGGTGCACTCTCAGGATGACGCAGGAGAAGGCGATACTCGCGTGTAAGACCATAAGAAACCGAATTACTTCCCCAGCATTCCGCAACGACGGGGCCGCGGTTCCTTTGACCCTCGCGAATGGGGACCATCTCGGAATAGATCAATAGAATCGATTGCGGCCGCGCTTAACCCTCCAGGAAAAGAAAATGGGTGGGATCGCATTGTTTCCCTCTCTCTCCCCTTCGTGAAGGGGGGGAGGGAGGGGGGGAGAAACGCATCCATCGTGAGAGATCGGGGGATTCGCGAACAATACGACCAGCCGCGGGCAACACCTGGGCGTACCTTGTATGTTATTGCGCAACAATTCACAACAAACAAAAATCGAGTGCACGAGAATGCGCGCGCAGAGAAATAATTCTGGGATCGAGGCGAGAACGGAAATCGTCATTGGAATTAATATTTAATTCAAGATTCCACCCTCTCCCTCCCTCCTTCCGTTCCCTCGAGCTCGTAGATGCTTGAGCATCTGGAGCCGCATCGCGGTTGCGTCGACTTGTGTACGCGGCCCTCTCCTCTGTAGGCGCGGGATTTAGGCTTTCGCCTCTATATGGGGGTCAAGTTCAGGGGTCGATAGCTCGGGCCGGTGGTGGTTCCTGGCGGTGTTACCCTCGAATAAAAGTGAACGCCGCAGCGGCACGTAAAGTGCAGCAGCAGCGGCGACTGCGGCGGCGGTGGTGGCGGCTGATAGCAGCCGGCCGCCACACAACGCCGATAGCCGGCAGATCGATGGAGGTGCCTGGTGAACTTGGAAATTCCCCTAGCACACGCGCACTTCCTCGTCGTTCTCTTTCCCTCAGCCTCTTTCCGTCTCTGTCTCGTCACCTTTCCCGTTCACGCCGCCACGGTGCACGAGGAGATAACCGCACGCTCGAGTAAACGCGTACACGGCCGATTGAGAAACGGGTTATCTCTTCGCGAAGTGTGCCCGCTCGCGCACGGCGCGGGATGATTCACAATCGCCTCGGGGACGTTTATGTACAGGGTGTCCTAGAAAAGGGACGTTCCTCCCTTGAGAAATTCGAGTCTCGATGAGCTTCTCGTCCCGAAAA